AAAAAATGCTAGTTATAAAGACAGATTTATCCGAAATCTAATTATGCCAATGCATTAAAATACTGTATGGATTCAAGTATTCGGTCGTTGTTAGACTATGAGGCTAATTCCTCGAGGCCAAATCCTAGCTACCAAGACCCAAAGTTGCGTATTCCACCTACGAAATAGAGGCGGGTCGAAAACTCATCATCCAATGGCGTAGGGTACCCATTGAGCATATCGACTTTCCCAAGTATCTGGGTGTCTTTTTGGATAGGTCACTGACTTTTAAGAAAAACTGCCAAAATATCAAGCAGAAGGTGCATTCTAGAAACGGCCTCTTGCGCCGACTGGTTTCCACTAAATGGGGCGCTTCGCCCGCTGTTCTGCGGTGCACTGGTTTGGCGCAGGGTTGCATGATTTAAATCAAGTTGATTTAAATCATGATTTAAATCACGATTTTTATTACATGATTTTTTTAATAAAATTCATTGATTTAAATCAATGACCGAAAATGGAATTAATGAAAGGCTGGGAGTTAATATTAATCAACTGTAATGTTCGAAAACAATGTTAATGTTAGGTGTTAATGTATGAAATTGTCGTTTTGTATGGAGAATCTGAAAAAAAGATTTTTTCCATACAATCACATTTGCGATTTTTCAGATAACCACATAATAAATTTTTTTTGGCGGTGTTGCCTGCTCCATATATCAATTCTACGTAAATAAAAATGTATTCCGTAAGAAAAACTAAAGAAATGATCGCAGAACCTAATAAAAATCAAAAAAATCAAATTAATCAAAAAAATCGTGATTTTTTAAAAAAAATCTGTTTTTTTTTATTAAAATAAAAAAATCGTGATTTTTATCCACCCTGGTTTGGCGCTTTCCTTCTCAGCAGGCGAATATGCGAGCACTGTATGGAGCCACTCAGTCCATGCCAAGCTAATAGATTGAATGAAACCTGACGATTGATTACTGGTTGCTTAAAACCGCCACCGGCACATATGCTGTATCCGCTGGCTGGAATAACGCCCCCAGAGATCCTCAGAGCCGTAGCAGCCTCTTCCGAGAAATCGGCCATGCTGGGTGACACAGGCACCCACTTTTTAATTACGACCCTGTGCCTCAAAGGCTAAAAAGCCGAAGCAATTTTGTAAAAAGTGTGTCCCCTCTCCTTCATGATGATCGGTCAAAAGAGAGATGCAGGTTATGGCACGAGAGAGCTGATCTCCCCTGCCCTTTTGTCCCTGTGTCTGAGAGTCCTCCACCTGGACATGAGCTCCCCTGACCTACCTGGAAGTCTTTAAATAGACTTCGGACGCAGGTCGGCTGTAGTAAGGACCATCTGTTCAGGTGGGGATTCTTGGATGGCTCAAACTTGGAGTGTTGTTTTGTTCCCCAGTCGACGAAGCACATGATGTCGTGCCCTGCGTGCCCAAACAACTGTACGCAGGAAGATTTAATGAAGGATACTGACAACGCCATTCTTGTGGCGGAGTTTTGGGCCGACGCGGCGACGCTGTGTAGGTTTGTTGTCGACACGACAAGAAGAAGAAGAAGAGTATTCGGTCCCTACAAACATATTTGTAACATTATACAATGCATGAAAAAAAAGCGAACGCTCGGGGGGTCGCCAAATATTTTTTCATACTAGGGGGGTCGTGTCATGAAAAAGGTTGAAAAACACTGGTTTAGGACACTGATGCGACACTTGACCTCAATTACGTCAAACTGACGTAAACAGCAATCCAGCGTGAGTAGATTTGTATTACTGATCTCAATTTACAGATAAGGTAGTTGTGTAGACATGAAAGATTAGCTGCGTCTCATCATCGCGACTTTTTAAATAGGTTACTAATACACTAAAGTAGTTCAACATTGTGAATTTGAAACCTGCTCTCCGAATCTACATTCCTACCCGACCGAGACTGAGATTTTTTTAACGTTCAATAACGTCACAATTACAAACGGAAATACAGGGGGTGTCCCGCAAAGAGTGAATCATCAAAACAGGGAAGTATGTTGGTTTTATGCCTAATTACTTTACGCCAAATTTCACTTCGCAAACAACTTATCGCCAAAGTTTCATTTCCCAAATGAACTTTTAGCAACTGTACTTTTCGCAACTGATTCATTTGGTCAAATTATCATTTGGCCAAATTTTACTTGGCAAATGTTTATATAGCAAATGTTTTATGTTGCCAAATATTATATCCCAAATAATTTGTTTGGTCAAATTGACACTTCACATACTTACCCACCGTTACCCACAAATCAAAGCATAAGGCACATGATCATGGTTTTCACAATAATTTTATGTAAAACATTGCAGAAAATAGTATGGTTGCAAAAAGTAGGTATTGCAGAAAATAGTAGGTTAGGTTAGGTTAGAACAGTGACCCTTAATGCGCGAAGGCGAGCGAAGCGTGCCGCGGCAGCGGCCGCCGAGCGCTAGAATCACCTCTATTGTTAATGAATCATTTGGAAATTTCGATACAAAGAATGAAATAAGGAAATTAATGTAGAACAAATTTTATATTAACTCCCCACTAAACAAAATAATAACCATAAGCTAATTTGTATACCATTCTATGCACCAATCAAATTATTTTGTAAATAGTTTGTCGTGAAATATTTTTGCCTAATGAAACATTTGGCAAACCATACTTTGCCAAACAATAATTTGCTAAACAATAATATGCCAAAAAAAACATTTGCGAATTAAAAGTTTGCAATAAGTTGCTTTGCCAAATGAGAATTTGCCAAATGAAAATTTGCGAAACGTTGTTTGCGATGTGATAATTTGGGAAACGTTTTTTGGCCAAACATTAGTAATCCCCTAAAACTCCTTGGTATGAGTGACGAAACAGTTATTATTATTATTATTATAGCTTTATATTCCACATTTTTACAGTTTGATTCAATTAATCTGTATCTCTTGTTTGTGGCCCCACTTGGGTAAAAGCCTCCTCCATCTTTTACGAAACAGTTACGGCGACAAAAGATAACCGTGCGTGAGAAGCCCTTAGACACCGAAAAAAAGTTGAAGTTGGTAAATACGAATTACTGCTTCCTAAATACAACAAATAATAATTAACTGTGAAAAACTAATAACAAGTACCCGTCAATGTAGTACTCGCGTACTGCTTACTTGAATATAATTAAAAAGTTGTAGACACATAGATAGAGCAGTTCGCTGTTACAATGCAATTATAGATCAGTCAGTAAATATTTGAATTAGATTTAAAAACAACAATAATATGGTATTACACAATACACAATTTCATATTTTTTGTTATCTATCTAACAATGATTACATTTCGTGGATTTTATAGCCTACTAACTTTTTTGGAAACTATCTTACAAATATTAGATTTTCCTGCCGTCGACAAAATGAAGTTTTGTCACAGATCATTATAAATTGTAACCTGTTTAAACAACTGTGAAGTTACATCAAAATCCATTCAGTAGTTTTTTCATGCAAAGATAATGAACATACCCATATATCCTCACAAACTTTTCTGTTTTTCTGTTTGTGTATCACTGTTAGCTATATTATATCTTTTGTGTGCCAGAATATGGGTCTACACAATTATGTGCAATAAAATATAGAAAGATACCTACTATGAGGCTATGAGCCCCATTTCCTATGAGTGCTAATAACATAATGTACCTAATTAGGGTAAAAAGTTTGTTATTGTTTTTTTGTACCTTATTAATCTGCTAAATGCTAGATTTGGCAGCCAACGTGGGAGCGGTTTCCCTAACCTAGTTATTTTTTACCATAATACTGTATTTTTCAATAAAAAAAATATTTTAAAATTACCATTGAATATTAAACTTTCAGTGGTACTGTCTACGCACGGACATTGCCTGCGGGTAGGGTTGCCAGGTCCAAAATCACAAAAGCCGGACTCTGTTCTTCATTTGGCCGGTTATCATATTCGGTTGCTAACCAACATCCTGATGCGTGCGCTTCATATTATTCTGTGGCTCGACTTTCGCCTGGCGCGGCAACCAAATAAAAAGCCTAACAAAACCCGGACAGGCCGGACAACACAATATTTGGCCAGACCGTAACTGGTTAAAGCCGGACACCTGGCAACCCTGACCTGTGCGGCGTGACCGGATGGATCAGCGAGCGGGCGGCGGCGTTCGGCGAACGAACAAGCAATGTTCGGTTCGCGAGCGAACATGAACGAAGACGACCCTAACACACTCTCTTCAACGACTTTGCACTAAACGGTCTCATCTTGCCATTGTAAATTCTAAATCGAATAAATAACTAATTTTATACAGTCCACTCATTAGGTATTTCATTTATTAACTTCCACTACACATACTATCGAAGTAACAAGAAGTATCGAGGTAACCAGAATGGAAAACAATAAGTTTGATATGTGTGCCTAAAAGAGCCAGTATTTTTGCCCTGCTTTTCAGTTACAGTGGCCTTATTCTAGTCTCCTAACCCCAGAATTTTACTGCTTCTGGTTATTTATACTAATACTAAAATTACTCAGTGATTTATTTAATAGTCCACCTAATTCTTGTATTCAGTTCCATTTAATGTAAATATAGACTCAATTTTATATTTTCAGAAAATTAAATCAACAAGCAAGAGTGCATTGACCTCAACAAGTGTTATTGACCTACTTTATAAATAAATAATTTCTAAAGTATCTCGTGTTTTTCCTGTAGTTTTAAAGTGTTCTAAGGAAATAAGTAAGCATCTAAATGTAGGAATTGTAATGTTTATGCCTCTATGCAGGACTTGGGAATAGCTCATCATTACTAAAAGTAGATAATACTGTGCATAATATGTATAAAGTACACCTAGCAGGTCTTGCCTTAATCGATTTCATCCTTATTTTTACTATATCAATCGAAGATACGGCTTTTAGAGGTAAAATATGAGACGTAGAGACGAGATAAAATTTGTAAACATTGACCTAAAAGCAATAACAATACCATCAAAATAATTTCATACAATCGATTCTCATACTGGAACTCCTTTACCTTGGATCTGGCAAAACAATTTTTTTGCTAGCCCTCGCTGCTGGAGTGCACTTGGATTTCTCCATAGCCATCAAGTAGCTGACATCTGCCAGCACAGCTTCGAGGTCCGCCATTTTGAGACCGAATTTATCACTCCCACCAGCCAAAAAATAAATAACACTGATCCACAACACAAACACCAACTAAATTTAAGTTGATTTTCAACTGATAGTCATAACCTTCCTCACATGACGACTGTTCACTGCTTCACTATAAATTTGTTGATGAGTGGTGACACATGCTGATCATTTACATTCTCCGGACATATTATGTAAATAGGAACACTTTATTACATTTCTACGGGTTAGATATAATTTTAATTAATTTAATACTCATCTACAAAATGTATTTTAAACGACTGTAAGGCAATATACTAAAAAAACACATCTGAAATGATCGAAACGCGTTTTCCAACACCCGTCACTTCCAGTCACTTCGTAACTACGCACACAAACAAACCTTCTCTTGATTTTGTTGCTGGCACTCACACACATGACATCATATGACAGATTGTTCCATTTCTCTATTTTTTCCTACGTTTACGAAAATGGTTTCGATAAAATTTTAGGCCAAGTTGCGTCAAAATGCCAAGCCAAGCTTAAAATCAGAGATCGGAAACATTTGGATAAACAGGTTTGATACATTTGGGTATTTCGCCGAAACAGTAAATTTTATGTGTCCAGGCAGGCGAACACATGTTTTTTTTATATCTATATGTATAAAACTATTTTTATGGGAAAGTTTATCAAAAGTTTTATTTGTTTTTGCTATTACAATAGCAGAAACTACAAATAATACCGTAGAAAAACTTAATCAAAAGCCGTTTTTCTAATTTCCTTGTTATGTCCATTACTGTTGTTTGCCAAAATGAAGGCACATTATAACAAATTGAAGCGTAATTTCATTCTAATAGCACTCTCTTTATATTTGAGAAACGTTTGGCTATCGGAAAATAAAAACTTTAAATGTAAAATACTTAAAGGAAGGAAATAAAGTGAAGTTAAGTTCTTGTCCGAGTCAAAAGTATAATTTCCCTGGGTCTTCTTTTCGACCATTGTAGTAACAAAACGAAAGAACTTAGAATGTAATGCACTGCACCGTTACACTCGGCCATTTCGTCCCAAGAGGCCATCGAGGCAGGACAGTACTTCGTTGATCAGTTTCGGGTATTTCGCCAAAAATGGTCAATTTTGCCTAATTTCCTTGGCACGAATTTTATTTTTGTTTTTAAGTATTTTTTGTTTCCCATTGCATTAAGTAGTAAAAACTAAGCTAATATATCTAAAAGGGGTGTCATAATTCGTTTTAGAAACAAAGTTATGAGGTCATAAATTTTTGGTAGCCAAGGAAATTATTTTAAATATTTTTTTCTCTAAGTTTTTTTCTGTGGTTTGCTTTTTTTTTGTTCGACCCATTTTTGTGTACTTTCGCAAGCATTCATGCTAATGAATATTATATCATTACGACCTTTTTAACCAACTAAGGAAGATAAATGCAGTAGATTGAGTTAAGAGTTAAAAACAAGTTTTTCTATATCTATTCTGATACCTATTTCTTAAAATGTATATTTTAAACTTATTCCAATAAAGAAATACTCAAAATTTAACTTTACTCCGAATTATTAATGGTCTTTTATAATTTCCTAGGTAATTTTATGCCACGGAAAACAAGGAAATTAGGACCAAAGAAATTAGATTTATGCCTAAAAGACACCACAGACAAAAACCCATTTACCCTATGCATTTACTATTTAAATAATGGGTTTACCCCTACAGACACTACATTTGTGTAAATAAACAATAAAATTAATCCATTTTTTAGCTGCAAAAAACCGTCCCAAAGAAATTGACTTTTTAGTAAACAAAAACCCAAGGAGGGACCTATTTATGCGATTTGTCGCGAAACTGATCAATGACGTACTGTCCTGCCTCAATGGCCTCTTGGGACGAAATGGCCGAGTGTAGTGGTGCAGTGCGTTACATTCTAAGTTTTTTCGTTTCGTTACAACAGTGGTCGAAACGAAGACCCAGGGAAATTATACTTTTGACCTGGACAAGAACTTAACTTCACTTTATTTTCTTCCTATAAGTATTTGACATTTAAAGTTTTTATTTTCCGATAGCCAAACGTTTCTCAAATGTAAAGAGAGTGCTATTAGAATTAAATTACGCTTCAATTTGTTATAATGAGCCTTCATTTTGACAAACAACTGTAATGGACATAACAAGGAAATTAGAAAAACGACTTTTGATTAAGTTTTTCTACGGTATTATTTGTAGTTTCTGCTATTGTAGTAGCAAAAACAAATAAAACTTTTGATGAACTTTCCCATAAAAATAGTTTTATACAGATAGATATAAAAAAACATGTGTTCGCCTGCCTGGACACAGAAAATTTACTGTTTCGGCGAAATACCCTTTCGCGTTAAATCGCTTAAGTAGGTCCCTCCTTGGGTTTTTGTTTACTAAAAAGTCAATTTCTTTGGACGGTTTTTTGCAGCTAAACAATGGATTAATTTTATTGTTTATTTACACAGATGTAGTGTCTGTAGGGGTAAACCCATGATTTAAATAGTAAATGCATAGGGTAAATAGGTTTTTGTCTGTGGTGTCTTTTAGGCATAAATCTAATTTCTTTGGCCCTAATTTCCTTGTTTTCCGTGGCATAAAATGGCCTAGGAAATTATAAAATACCATTTTTAATTCGGCGTAAAGTCAAATTTTGAATATTTCTTTATTGGAATAAGTTTAAAATTTACATTTTAAGAAATGGTATCAGAAAAGATATAGAACAACTTGTTTTTAACTCTTAACTCAATCTACTGCATTTATCTTTCTTAGTTGTGTAATAAGGTCGTAATGATACAATATTCATTGGTATGTTTGTTTGCGAAGGTACAAAAAAAGGGTCGAACCAAAAAAAAAGAAAACCACAGAAGAAAAATAAAGAGAAAAAAATATTTATAATAATTTCCTTGGCTACCAAAAATTCATGACCTTATAACTTTGTTTCTAAAACGAATTATGACACCCCTTTTAGATATATTAGCTTAGTTTTTGCTACTTAATGCAATGGGAAACTAAAAATAGTTAAAAACAAAAAAATATTTCGTACCAAGGAAATTAGGCAAAATTGACCATTTTTGGCGAAATACCCATTTTACAGTAAAAGCTATTCTCTATTGGTGACGTTTTACTACTTTGTTTAAGGGGGCTGAAGCCGTGTTTCCAGCTCGTGTTTTCAACAAAAACATGTCAACTTTCAGCAAAATTGCCTCCAAAAATATTGAATGTTGAATATTTTTGTGGGTGAACAAAACTTGGCTAATATTAAAGCTGTATAATACATAATATCATGGTGTAATAGAAACAATATGTCAACTTGACATTGTCATCCGTCAAATGGCTGACTGACTGACAGTCAGTATCTGTCAATTGCAAATTTCCAATCGTAATCGTAATTTTTAATTTTAATGAATATGGCTTTTTGATAAGGCATTGAGCGCTAGCATGCCGGTGATATAATACTTCAAAGAACAAATAGGCAGGAAAATTGTTATCCACGTGTTCCCCGAATAAATTAACAGTGAGTACAAATTCTAAATTCGTTAATGGTACTTTTGACTACATTACTTTTAATGTACACATTTGCTATTACGGAAAACGCGCAATAAAGTGTTGTTCTATGAAATTTACATAAATCTTACTGCCGCACGCAACTATGGTCCGTTGAAGATCGTATTACAATCACACCTTACGACTTGGATTCAAGATTTTACTTAATTTATTGAACTTATATATATAACGCGCAAATGATTAGGACAGTATTGTAGTCAGTTTAGTTAACAATTGTTTTTTAGTCCGTTAACACTTATAATATTTCTTAAAAGTTGAATTATGAAGATTACACACTCAGTGGGTAGTTTATTTTGTTTGGGAATTATAAATTAACGGTATTGTGAAGTGTAAGAGAAATATTCTTTTGTTATAGCAATGATGGGCTACTGTCCCCCCAATGTCACCCTGGGGGAAGTGTGGGTGGACCATGGCATATCACAATGCTTCATGGAAACTGTATCTGCTATTATTATTGGAGGTTTCCTTATGGTATTTGGAGCTATACAGATAGTCATGTATAAGAGGTAAGTTACTGTTTAAAGTAGTTTAAACCATGTTCTATATCTAATAGTAAAATTAAGAGTAGTCATTGTCATAGTCATTTATTCCATAAACAATAACATTATCGTATTGGAAATAGTAAATAAATAACATGCAGTTACTTTTATATTTTCTGGGTAGAAAGGATTCTTCCATTAAGAATCTTACTAGAATACATAGGAGAAAAATATGTTAAAAACAGTATTGAATTAATTAATAATGTAGGTTCCTTTATAATTATATTTCAAATGATTTAATTTGATTTGAAAATTGAAGTATATTAATATTTTTATGTGAATATAAAAATGGTTTGGTATAAAAACCAAACTAGTTCAACTTATGTACTATGCATTAATAGTTGTATAACAAATTGTATCAAGTTTATTTTGAATTTGATGGACACACGTGACTGCTGATGACCCCATCATATTTGGTAGGTCTTATCTCTGCCGATATTAAATAACACTTTAAAATTAAATATCACTTGATGTTCAGTTGTCATTGGTCATGTTTTTAACTAGTAGTTAGGACCTATAATTCAAAATTTTGGTTTGTCTAATTATAATTATGTGTGTTGATAAATTGTTATTGAAAATCAATGAGTTGCAATTTAACAATTTATCCATTGAATAAATATTGCAATGGATTACAATCTATATGCTATCTCAAGATAAATAATCTCACATAGCAATAATACCAGTGATGTTGAATTTTATCATTTAATCAAGTGTAACAGATCTTTTGAATGAGTTTTGAATTTATATAAATTTAATCATGCTTTATTATTATAATATCTTATCACTATTATCAGTAAAATGCGGCGGTATCCTTCCGTTTGGCCAAATTACTTTTCGCCAAATTTCACTTCGCAAACAACTTATCGCCAAAGTTTCATTTCCCAAATGAACTTTTAGCAACTGTACTTTTCGCAACTAATTCATTTGGTCAAATTATCATTTGGCCAAATTTTACTTGGCAAATGTTTATATAGCAAATGTTTTATGTTGCCAAATATTATATCCCAAATAATTTGTTTGGTCAAATTGACACTTCACATACTTACCCACCGTTACCTACCCACAAATCAAAGCATAAGGCACTTGATCATGGTTTTCACAATATTTTTATGTAAAACATTGCAGAAAATAGTAGGTTAGGTTAGGTTAGAACAGTGACCCTTAATGATTCACCTCTATTGTTAATGAATCATTTGGTCGATACAAATAATGAAATAAGGAAATTAATGTAGAACAAATTTTATATTAACTACCCACTAAACAAAATAATAACCACAAGCTAATTTGTATACCATTCTATGCACCAATCAAATTATTTTGTAAATAGTTTATCGTGAAATATTTTTGCCTAATGAAACATTTGGCAAACCATACTTTGCCAAAGAATAATTTGCTAAACAATAATATGCCAAAAAAAACATTTGCGAATTAAAAGTTTGCAATAAGTTGCTTTGCCAAATGAGAATTTGCCAAATGAAAATTTGCGAAACGTTGTTTGCGATGTGATAATTTGGGAAACGTTTTTTGGCCTAACATTAGTAATCCGTTTAAACTACATAGCTTTTTAACTTTCCATTGATTTAACACGTATTTGAAATAAACATTAATTCAATAGTTTATTAATTTATTTAACGATCAATGTGCTTTATACAAGCTTTTTATTTAATACCAATTTATTGCATTGAGAACCAAGTGCCAATATAATATTAACATATGTATGACTGCTTATGTTAATGTATGTTAATTGTATGAACCTAGAAGTTACAGAATAATCATGCAGTTAGACCATCTTTTTATTGTGGGAAAAGTAGTTTTACTACAAATACTTAATAATAACAAATACTAGAAAAAATTCAGTGCATATCCGATGGCGCCACCATAAAAACCTTTAGATCGTCCGTCCATCTTGCAGGTAATCTCATTCTGTTTTCCCATCAGTCTTATAATCCAGTGCAAGTCCGATGGCGCCACTAACGACTTATCACCTAATTTTGCATTTGTATATAAGGTAATCCGTCCATCGTGTAGGTAATCCAATTATGTTTTCCCATCGGTCATAATCCAGTACAAGTCTGGTCAGGTCGTCCGTCTATGGGGTAGGTAATCTCACTCTTTCCTAATCAGTCATAATTCAGTGCAAGTCCGACGGCTCTACCATGGAGCTATTATCGCCAAATTTTGCATTTGCACAGCGATCATCGGTCCATCGAGCAATCTCATTCTCACACTTTCCCAGTCATTGATTCTCTGCGTGAATATGTTACTGTAAAAGTTCGAATTGCAGTAAATCCTAAGATATTCCAGTAAAACCTAAGATCTACCAATTCCTAATGGTATATGTCCCAAAAGGTTTGCGATTCGAACTCTTACCACCATTTCGTTGGTAAATCTTAGGATTTACATTAATGGCACGGTAAATGTTGAAAAACAAAACATGTCAGCCGTTTAGAGTAAGTAAAAACTGCAAAGAACATTACAAAGAAGGAAGCTGTTCATACAGGCGTATAAAACGCTATGATATTTTGACTAATAGGTAGGCGGCAAAGAAAAGCTAATTGATATGATAGAGATTGAGATATTCAGAGATATAAGTTATGTGTTTTTAGGGTTCCGTAGCCAAATGGCAAAAAACGGAATCCTTGTAGATTCGTCATGTCTGTCTGTCCGTCGTCCGTCCGTATGTCACAGCCATTTTTTTCCGAAACTATAAGAGCTATACTGTTAAAACTTGGTAGGTAGATGTATTCTGTGAACCGCATTAAGATTTTGATGCAAAAATAAAAAAATAATAATAAATATTGGGGGCTCCCCATACTTAGAACTGAAACTCAAAAATTTTTTTTTCATCTAACACATACGTGTTGGGTATCTATGGATAGGTCTTAAAAAATGATATCGAGCTTTCTAAGATATTTTTTTTCTAAACCGAATAGTTTGCGTGACAGACGCTTCCAAAGTGGAAAAAAAAATATTTAATACCTCGTAAATCGTAAACCGCTTATTACCGCGTAATCTTTCATACAAATAACTTAAATTTAAAAAAAATCATAGATCAATGGTACGGAACCCTTTGTGCGTGAGTCCGACACGCACTTGGCCGGTTTTTCAAAATAAGTTAGAAAGAAAGAAAGAAATAGAATTTATTGAACACAGTAAGCACAAATTATAAACAATTACAACACAAAACGAATATAAGAAGTTGGTATTCGTTTGTACTTATTACTATCATATGATACCTTTATAATACTGTGTATGTTTTGTCTAATAACTGATTAAAGTAAGTAATTAAGAATTACTCATTGTTTTATTCCTAAAACCAACATCTACCAGCTGACAGAGGTAAAACCTAGCATATACTGAATTCGAATGGTAAAAGCTCGAAAAAATCGTTGTATTTTCAGAAATACTTACATTTACCAACTGACGTCGGTAAATCCTAAGACTTACACTTAAATCTTAAGATTAACCATAGTTCGAGCTTTTACAGTAACAAATACATGTTTTTTTGTTTATTTATAAACCGGTCTCAACATTAGAGCCTTCATCCATGCGATCCTTTATACATACCGGCCTTAATTACCTCGACATTTAAATATCATTTGCGTAGTAGTTAACATGTTAATACGCGTTCTAAAATGCTTAGTTTTTGTTGGAAAAACTCGATAATAGCCAAAGGGAATCGAAAGGTCATAGCTAAGGTGTAAATAGTACGCAAATGATGGGGTTTGACATGGGAACTTGCCGAAGTGGTGTAAGAAATATGGAATTTGCAAGCAAGTAAGTAGCAACTACTCAATATGGAAATCATTGGAGGCATTTATGTTCAGCAGTGGACGTCCTATGGCTGAAATCTGAATAATAAAAATGAATTGATGTTCGTTAGTCTGATTAAAACTCGAGAACGGCTGGGCCGGTCGAGCTGATTTTGGTTTTAAAATGTTTGTCGTAGTCCAGGGTAGGTCTAAACGGTAAGCAAATATGCGCGCGATAATGTTTTTCTGTGACAGACAAAATTTCACGCGGGCGAAGCCGCGGGCGGAAAGCTAGTAAATAATAAATATCCTTGGATATTTTACACTGCGCTTCTAGTCCCAAACTAAGCAAAGCTTGTACCTACTATGGGTACTAGACAACGGATTTAAACATACTTAAATAACGATGAACATCGATTTTTTTTAATAATCTCATTGTCTATCTACAGGGTATTTGGTAAATGGGTATATGAGCCGACACTAGCCCATGTTAACATGGGCATATAAATGATTTATGGTGAAGTCAGAAATTTGATCATCATTTTATTTTTTAAATTTTCATACAAAATACAAAANAGTAATCCAAAATGCGGCATATAAGTGAGCTAGTAAATTGTAATAGATTGAAAAGAAAATTACTCACTAAACAATTTACATAGGCCTGCAATGAAAACCATTCATAGGACCTTTTTTTAATTTAGTTTCCATTAGACTAGTAGAACGGAAAAAGTCGCGGTCAGCCATTAGTGCTTAGTTATTTTCTCATGTTACAGATATGCAACTGAAGTAGTGGACGTCAGATCTTCACGCTTATTTGGTGTCCAATTATTTTTTACACTATTTGTACCTGTGCTGGCTGTGATAAGGTTCCTGCTACAATCATTTCTATTTAAAGGAGGACATATCTATGGTTATATGGTATGTATTCGGCAATTAGCTTCCAATGTTTCAAATATGATACATAATAATAATTTACATTGAAATACTTTTATAATACAAAATATTTAGTTTGGATGTAATGCATGCAAGTAAAGCCAGGCAAACCTATGTGGAATGTATGATAAACTATCATTAATTCGATAATTAAACTGATAAATAATGCGAATTGCGTATTTATCTTTTATCTAATACAAAGTAATTTTTACAATATGTATTTATTTTTTGTTGCAGATTGTGGCATTAGTAGTGACGCTCGTAATATTCCCTTTATCGGCGTATTTAGCCATACTGGAGAAGCGGTTCCTACTGCCTTCTGTACCACCCAGGGGGCATGGGTTTGTCCTACTAGTATTTTGGGCGTTGATATTCGTTTCAGAGAACTTATCATTCTTGAACCTAAACAAAGAAGGATGGTGGTGGGGCTTAAAGGAGTAAGTTATCAATGACATTATTTTTACTGACATTATGTTTACTGATCTGGATCCCAAAACTTTGATCTATTGAACTTTTTACTTATTTTGTAACAGTGCTCGTATTTTCGAACACAGTAAACGAAAGGAGAGGCCTATATTTTCCACAAAGGACATCTGTACTGGAGTGGAACTATGATCTTTAACTCAGTATATTTAAAGTCCCGAATAGCGCCGAAGACTCTAACTTAGAATCATTTAATTAAAGAGTTATTATTTATTTGCAACAAAGTACAGTCTTATCATTATGGAATAGTCCAATGAATTCTGACCCAATTCCTTCTTTGTAGTCTTCAAGACCGTCTAGAGATGGCTCTGTTCGTCGGCCGCTATGTATCCTGCATGATCATGTTTGTGCTGGGCATGAAGGCGCCCGGTATCATGCATCAGTTCGAATACCTTGAGGGCGATGACACTCGACGACTGGTCCCGCCTAGGGTGAGTTTATTTACAGCGCCGTATCTTCAAATATGTTCTGGGCCTATGTTCAACAGTGGACATCCTATGGCTGAAATGATGATAATGATGATCTCTAAATAAAGGATATCGTATTTACGGTCACCAGTTTACGCAAATGGCGAGTAAAGTCCTGTCACTCTGTGGCCTGTGGTGCCAACTGGTCAACGCTAAAGCGGTAGTAGGCGGTAGTAACTACCGCGTTTTCACCATCTGTCGTAGTTTAAGCCTTGGGCAGACCAAACGCAGGGCAGTAGCTGCGCAGTTTGAATGCGGGCCCGCGCAAGTTGTAATACAAGAAACTCTTTGAAGTATGTCACACCAAATTTGAACGCGGGCCCGCGCTCCAACCGCTCCGCACCGCGCCGCACTGCAACTGCCGAAATACAAACGAGGCGGCGCGGGTGCGGGACAGAAGCGGCGCGAACGCGGGCCCAACTGACCCGCACTGCTTCTGACCCGCGTTTGATCTGTGGAAGCCTTTACTGTTTAGGGCCTCAGCTAAAACTCTGGCCCGCGGAAAATAAAATTTCAAAACGCCAGTTATCTTTTCATGTTCTTTTTATTTACCAGAAATAATATTTGCCTTATAAAACCTCGTGTGAGCGCTATTGATAAAACTTTTGCGCAGCAAATTTTCGAAAAGAAAACATGACATTGGCGTCAAAAATGTCACCATTTTATTTAGATTTTTTAATAGGTTAAGGTGTCATGTCATGTCCATATCAAAATCATTTTAATGCTTCCGGAGATAAACACGTGTTCAAAACTAAATTAAATCAGGTGATTTGCATGTATAAACGTCTTACTACATTATAAACTCAGCACACTCTAAAATAAAAGTTAGTAAATAACATAACCTTTTAACTAGTGCTTCTTCTAACGTTTTAACAACTCGTTAAGGCCTATTGGATGGAGTTTCGCTATTACTATACCCCAGTGAGGAGCAATTTTTTTACGTATTTTTTATATGAAATGGTCCTATGTACTTTTAACACATAAAATGGCACACTGCTCAAAGGTGTAACTAACACACAGAGATACTGTACCAAATACCAAAGGAGACAAATACAATTACTGACTTGAGTTACTTACTATTTGAACTCTAACATCAACTCATGCCCCTCATCTATGAGTCATGATAATAAAGTTATAGGTTTGACTCTCACTTAATTTATACTGCGTGTTTATATCAAGACAAGATAACATGCATAGATTCTCCTCGTCAATTTAGTCGTAGACCTTATTGCCTTACCCTTATGGCTGACTCGCTCTGCAAGATGAAAACAGATGGTCTTCGCCAAAGTGATCCTAAACCTTATTGCTAAACAATCAAAATATTCAATCGTCTAATTTCCCCTGCAGGACGAAAACAGATCAAAGTGATTCTAAGCATCTAGAATACTCAATCGTCTAATTTCCCCTGCAGAATTAAAGTGATTCTAAACCTTATTGCTAAACAATCAAAATACTTAATTGTCTAACTCGTTCTGCAGGATGATAACAGATCGACATTCCGCAATGTATTCGGCAAACTCCGCACACTCCTGCCGTTCCTATGGCCGCGCAAGAGTGCATGTCTTCAGGTGTACGTCTTCATTTGCATCCTGGCTCTGCTGGCCGGCCGAGTCATCAACCTATACGTGCCTATCTACAACAAGCTTATAGGTATGTATTAAGGTTCATTATTGCATTGCCGGGAATTACTCATGTCATGTTTGTACTAATTTGCAAGAAAGAGTAATGAAACTTAAGTACAATATTTATAAAGGACATTTTACTATGGATAAAGGGAATATTTGCATAAATTATGCGTAATCGCATGAGTAAATATTGTCATTAAAATAACAATAATATGTATGTCCATAAGGACATAATGTACATCATCAATCGATACTGAGGATTCGGGGAGTCTTAGAACGCGCATCCTTGTTGAAATCTACGTCCGATCAGTAAAGTGAATAAGCCCCGCCTTCTTATCTTTACCTAATAGACTGCTCTTGAATGAGAACTGATAAACTTCACTCCTTAACAGATATGATGTAACTAGCAATCTATAATGTTACATAACCAACTGCTAACATCCTGGAACATTTTAAAAGAAAAAAGCCTATCAATAAATTATCTGCTAGCACTGCTGGTGGGCTGAAAATGTTTAGAACCTACCTACAATGGTAGTATTTTAAACCTCACTAATTTGTTTTAAAGTCAAAAGTCTTAAATTAAGTCGTGACTTGACTACACGTTTATGTTTCGTAATAATATAAATAAAAAGAACCTCTTTACTTTATGCATTAATATGTTCATAAAAGATAAGTATCACGGTTTCGTCACAGCCATATCGTTGTATGAAAATGAGTCACCGTAAACGGCCGGAAAGTTCTAACAAGATTATCTGCTAATTAGGTTTAATAGGGTTAAATCCAGTTAGATAGCCAAATACTTTGACAAAGAATTTGCAAATCATTAAGATTTAGTAATTTTCAATGTCACAGTCATTTAATTAGATTAATCAGACTATTGTTGCACAGTCGTACTTATTACAACTACATAAGTTACTAGCGGCTTCACCCGCGTGAATTTTTGTGTCATAGATCGGCATAAATTATAGCCTATATGTTGATCTGGATTACAAACAATAATACTGTAAAGTTTCAACAAAATCCGTTCAGTAGTTTTTACGTGAAAGAGTAACAAACATCCAGACATCCAAACTTTCGTATTTATAATATTATTTATCCCAACTAATATTATAAATGCGAAAGTAACTCTGTCTGTCTGTCTGTCTGTCTGTCTGTTACGCTTTCCCGCTTAACCTCGTAAGCCCGGATGTGCCTCAGAAGGAACTGAAACTTTGTAGTCAGTAACGCCGAGACATTTTCGGAGGTGACTTCGAAGTATCGCCGGATGTGCCATCAGAGGAACTAAAACTTTGGCGATAAATTTAAGTTCAAAAATTTGCGCCTATCGAAAGAAAAAAGTGATAGNAAATACAAAATTGTTTATTCAGAATCAGGTTTGAAAAAACAGGGTTTCGATTGGGGTTTTCTTTTAAGTATAAGTAGATACTTGTGTTAGAAAACCCCGCTCTCCATTTACAATAATTTACATTATGAAATTATACAGCTAGGAAATACCATGCATATCTATTGACTTATTTTACGAGTAGGAACTGAAAATTGTGTGTGTGTGTGTGTGTGGTGTGTGTGTATGTGTGGTGTGTGTGTGTGTGTGGTTATTATGTAGTAGTAATTTTATTAATTTATTTAATGAAAAGTTAAGTTATGTGTTTGCATAATTAATTAATATTAATTTTAGGTGTCAAAATACAAAATAAATTTTATAAATTCCGACTTGTATAAAAATTAAAATAGTTAAAATGAAGATATCAATTTTCTGACTTCACCGTACCATTTATATGCCCATGTTAACATGGGCTAGTGTCGGCTCATATACCCATTTACCAAACACCCTGATGATGTCGACAATCTTTACCTCCATAAATATTTAACACAGCTTTAACGGGTCTACAAGTTGGTAGGTTACCTACCTGTCTGGTACTGCTAAAAAGGGGCTATCAGAAATCTCATTTTTAGTGATTTATTTTTCTTTTCCAATATTTAATTCCAATATTGGTATGAAAATCCATTTATTTCATTTTTTACACATTTATAGTCCATTTTTAGGTACGTTCGTTTCAGCCAAATGACGTCCACTGCTGGAAAAAGGCTTCCCCCAAGGTTTTCCACAGTGAACGGTCGTGCGCTGCCCGCATCCAGGCGTCAAAAAGGCGACATAGACTTATAATATGTTTAATTTGTATTTCAATTGTAGCGTTTCAATCACGAATGCCAAGTTACAACAATGTTTAGTCTTTAAATATAAGACCGTCGTCATCTCAGTTTCCTTTTTTCTCAGGATCTCTCAAGTATCATCAGTCCCACTTCCTCAAAATCCTGTTCCATCGCAACATTATCGGCTTCACCCGTAAATAAACAAAGATTGCCCACGGTTGGTCATTATACAAATTGTAGTGCCCACATCCTCTTAAAACACAGACTAGCTTTGGTATAGACGCCGCAACTTTGTAAAATTTAAAGATTCGATTGGTATGACGGTATGTATAAGATTTTAAATTATCGCGTTCCATTTCAATTAAAATAGAAACGTCAAGCCGTGAGTACAAAATAAATAAATAATAAATAAATCTTTAGACAATTTCACACATCGCCAGCTAGCCCCAAAGTAAGCAACTTAATGCTTGTGTTATGGGTGCTAGCTAACGGATATACTACTTATATACTTTTTTTTTTAAATACATACATATTACACATAGTAACACCCAGACCCGTCACAGAAATTAAAATTCATCATTTCAATTTCTGCCTGGCCGGGAATCGAACCCGGGACCTCTTGGCATAGTAGCACATTCTGAACCACTACACCAAACGGCCGACAATTCTTAAATTCTCAATTATTCAAACTACCTATTTCACGTGTTTCGTACTGTCTACCCCTTAATTTAATTTATTGTCCGTGNAGAGAAAACATTTTTTTATTATTTTTCACCTAAAATAAGCTCTATGCACTATTATATAGGGCCCCTGAAAATATGAATGCAAAAGAAAATCTCTAACATAGAATTTTTTTTACTCGAAGTGCTCGGCGTTTACTACTTCAAATTATTCGTTCTTCTGAAAGCACATTCGGCGATACTTAGAAGTCGACACAATTTACTCTTCGGTCTTACGAGGTTAAACCTCGCAACCGATTTTGATGAAATTTGGCATAGAGATAGTTTGAGTCCCGAGAAAGAACATAGGATAGTTTTTATCCCGGTTTTTGAAACAGGGACGCGCGCGATAAAGTTTTTCTGTGACAGACAAAATTCCACGCGGGCGAAGCCGCGGGCGGAAAGCTAGTAATTTATAATATTAGTAGGATATCATCGTGTGTCAGATAGAAATATTATCAGGCATCGTGCAACAAGTTCTTAGCTTTTGAAGAAAAAAAAGTTTCTTCAAATTAAACAAAAATATGGCGTAGCAGGGGGTTATCCCTTATTTATTGTGGTTAAGATTAATGTAAGTTTAAAATAATCTAATATTGCCATTAATATCAAGATTCCGCGTTTCTGAGAGCACAGTAAGTAGTCAAATCGAGCCATAATCATCATTTACGGCTGTTAGATACGAATACGAGTCTCAGCACTGATCCATTTAGTGTCCGACCGAAACTAGTTTTACGACCGAAACCGAAACCGAAAACGAATTTCGACAATGATGTCTATTTCGGCCGAAACCGAAACCGAAACTTCCTTACAAAAGGCTCATATTTTGAGGGAAAAATAAAGAAAACGTTATTATAATCAGTCATTCTTTATTGTTTTCTCTTTAAATTGCATTAAAATTGAACTTATAAAGCGCCTTTTTACTCTAAAAGGTATCAAATTATGTATTAAAAAAGAAAAAGAAGGATTTATAGCTAGATTTTTTTTTATTACTCGCAATATTCGTCCCATGGTCGGGTCTTTTACCTTTATTATTTCTCAAAACAAAATTGGTAGTACGTAAGTTAGTATCTACTGTACTTCCCACATGGATACCTTGGTGATAAATACTAAAATGAACTTTGAAACTCTGAATCCATAATATTATCACCATGAAAATGCACTTTAGTCATTACTAACTACCTAACTGATGTTTGTTTACGTATGGCATCGTACGCGAACCAAAAAAAATTTACAGGTTAGATTAAACTTGATTATACTCTTATCAGTCATATTGAATTTTTTTTTTAATGTTTACTACCCGCTCTTATGTTATAACGACATAAAACGAGATACAACTTACCAAATTCAAAATAAATCACTCGAAAACTCGCCACCACAACAAAACTAACAGCAAACAAACAAGCGAGCGAATCACGACATTGGCTCTGATCGGATTCATTCATTCATTCAATGCGCCGAACATGACCGATAACAGCGCGGAAACTCCCGAATGCACATTCGATTTCGGTCGTAGTTTCGGCAAGTTTGCCGCCGAAAACGAAACTAAACCGAAACTCGTGTTTTTACCGAAACTCAACCGAAAACGAAACCGAAACCGAACATTCGGTCGGACACTAGATCCATTTATTGTCCCGAAGCAGTAGTAGGGTTATAGTACAGTAATACTGGGACGTATAAAAGCGCTTTTTATAAGCGTTAAGAAGCGCGTATCAATTCAAGAGTTTTCATATACGACTGGCAGACTACAAATTTTAGTCGGCCGAGTTGGGCCCGATTCTAATTTGTATGAAGAATCGGCCGATACTAATGTGTGCACTTTCATACAATATGTCTATACTGATGACTGATGACAAGAAGTCTGTAGTGTTTGGCTAGACTTAGATAATAATAATAAACGATGTAAAAAGTACTTTTATTAACAAGTTTTATTATTTCACAGTGGACAGCATATCGCTACCACCGCTGGCCTTCCGATGGGACTTGGTGCTAGTGTACGTTTTCTTCAAATTCCTGCAAGGCGGCGGCACTGGCGGGATGGGGTTCCTGAATAACATGCGATCGTTCCTGTGGATCAAAGTACAGCAGTACACTACTAGGGAATTACAGGTAAGCTGGTGTGACTGTGATTTTAGTAAAAGCTATTTTTACCCTTTATAAATCTAGCTAATAAATTACCACCATAAATTGAACCTTACTCACTTCATAAGATTGAAAACCAATGAACATTTTCATTATGTTGTGCCTTAGAGGGTTAAGAGGTTATTCCATTCAGTAACTAATCCTAGAACAGAAGTAAAAAAAATGCTTTACTACTTTGAATCAGAATGGATTCATAATATGCCATAAATATTATGTTCAAGTCAACTTGTGGCTTTATTATTTTCCCGTTAGTACGAATTTTATTTTATAACTTGAAGAAGTCAGTGAACAAGGAAGGAAACTTATATTCCGTTTGCTGATAAAACAGCAGGTTATATTTGTGTTAATAAAATGATTTTTGCGATTCCAATATCAATTAATTAAGTATTTCCCTTTAGTTACCCGCCTATTTTTACATTATTACGAAATAATATGCAATCATGAGTTGTACATTCATTAAGATGACCTCATATTATTATTCACCCAATTATCTGTTCACAAATTAATTAATGAAATGAGCCATCCGATACATTTTTATAACACTTGATGATTGAACAAAATTAGATTTTAATGTAAACATACAAAACACAAATTCCTGTGTTACCTCTAAGTTCGTGGTTTTATTACGTCATCGTCGATACACGTATCTACAAAAGCTAGAGTCCCCGCAGCCTACAGACTTTTTTCGATCGATAGTTTAATCGCACTGTTAATCAGTATGAATAAGTATGAAAGAGCATCGATTTTGTATCATACAAATTAGAAGCCTTTCTAAATCGCTTAATTTGAAGGACTTTTAGGGCACACGCATTGAAATAGCTGATCATTATTCCTCATACTTAGAAGTCTATTAAACTATTAAGCCCATAAAATCGTTTAGTTTGAAGGATTTAGGGCACGCGCAGTAAAATAGGTGATAACTATTCCTCATACAAATTAGAAGCCTACTAAACTATAAGCCTATCAAAATCGTTTAGTTTGAAGGACTTTTAGGGCAGACACAGTGAAATAGCTGATCATTATTTGCAATGCAATAACGCTCTTATTTCTATTCCAGTTAGAGCTATTCAAGCACTTACACGAATTGCCTCTCCGCTGGCATCTCTCGCGGAAGACGGGCGAAGTGCTTCGCGTGATGGACCGCGGCACGGATTCCATAGACAATCTACTGTCATACATTCTATTTTCTATCACGCCTACTTTGGTGGACATCATCATAGCTGTCGTCTACTTCGTGCTGCAGTTCAATGCGTGGTTTGGACTGATTGTTTTCTCTACTATGGTTCTTTACATAAGTGAGTATTTTTGTGGATATTGTATCTTTATATTATGATGCTATAAGTCTAGTGTTTAACTCAGTGCCTGAGGTATGGGCACGTGGCACGGGAGGGGCGACATTGACATATTATGACGTGACAGAGCATATAGATGACCCACGCTGAACTGTCCCACCAAACTCAATGACAGGGGGGCGCTACCATCGTTCAACTATATGGTTTCCAACATGGCAAAAATCGGAACAAGCGATCCGGTATTGACGGTGGCGCCCCGCTGTCAATGTCATGGGTAGGACAGTTCAGTATTTTGGAACTATACGAATCTGAAGCATATCTGAATTCTCGCTGACGTTTGACGTCCTAAAACACCATCCTGTGCTGCTCCCATACCTCATGCATTGGCTGTATTAAGCGCTAGCCAGGTCGCTAATATTCTTCTACACACAAATTATAATCCCAACTAATATTATAAATGCGAAAGTAACTCTGTCTGTCTGTCTGTCTGTCTGTCTGTTACGCTTTCCCGCTTAAACCTCGCAACCGATTTTGATGAAATTTGGCATAGAGATAGTTTGAGTCCCGGGAAAGAACATAGGATAGTTTTTATCCCGGTTTTTGAAACAGGGACGCGCGCGATAAAGTTTTTCTGTGACAGACAAAATTCCACGCGGGCGAAGCCGCGGGCGGAAAGCTAGTTCTTTATAATTTCTACTGATTTATGACAATCTTATACAATCTTTATAAAATTCCCACATTACAAATCCTATATGGATCTGTAAAACATCAAAAATGGAATTGCATTTCTCAACAAACCTCAGTTTTATTGAAGTTAAATTTTCCGTTTCGTTAAGTAGTACTTACCGGCGCGCGCGGCGATTATACAGACGGCTGCACAATAAACTAAACGCTGTGACGTCACTTAGGCTGAGTTGCACCATCTTACTGTCAAAAATCTGTTAAACTCCATACAAAAAGCACCGGTTATTGTTATTTTTACGGTTAAAATAAGGTGGTGCAGTTCAGCCTTAGTTATAATAGGTGCTATTTTAACAAAAACGTTTCCGCTGTTGTGCTGTCTATTGTACCTTTATACAAACATGGTTTTGAATGCCCCACTTCAATATAATAATCGTCTGGGTCCTTTGTTCATGACGTCATGTAGTACAATATGTGGCATTATGTTCCTATGATAAGTGCGCATTATAAACAAATGATACGCCTATGATAAGCGTAGATAATCGGCGCCTATGTTTTTATCGTCAGTTTATCTAGCTGCAGAGGGAAAGTTGATGTTATTGATTATAAATTATGTACTCTTGTTATGTTTGTTTTTATATGTATAAGTTATTTAAGTTAAGATCTCATAAAATGCAACTATTCTTGAAATTTATCAATGTAATGAATGTACAGATAAACCCAAATTACTCCAAACAGCTAGTCTTGCTTTAGAAGAAATGCAACTTTATTTCGCACTACAATAAAACACTTTTTCCAGTCGCAACAATCGTCGTAACGGAATGGCGTACGAAGTTCCAGCGGCGTATGAACAACGCCGACAATGAGCAAAAGGCGCGCTCCGTCGATTCCCTCCTCAACTTCGAAACGGTCAAGTACTATGGCGCCGAGTCGTACGAAGTCATTTCGTACAGGGAGGCCATTGTAAACTATCAGAAGGAAGAGTTCAAGTCTCTGATTACGCTGAATATGCTGAACACTATGCAGAACATTATTATTTGCGGCGGTAAGTGTGATTCATCTGTTTTTATTAGTCATATTTGAGCTCGCCGCTTGCAGTGAACACTGAGCGTAGTTCTCACTTTTAACTAAAAGCATGAAATGTGTTGTAACTCATAAAACTAGATTTTAGCTTGAAATGTAAATTTACCTGCAATCGCTTCTTCCGCAACTTCGTCTGCATATATTGCGATACGGTGGTCGCTACTCGAGAACTTTTCTGCCCCAGCGGCCATCAGCTTTCCGAGCTATGTGCCCCGCCCACTGCCACTTGATTTTTGCAATTCTGCGGGCTATGTCAGTCACTTTGGTTCTCCTGCGGATTTCCTCATTTCTGATTCGACAAATCCGATCAAACATACTTATTTGTTACCAAAGCTTTCATATCCTTAAAATGACGAAATATTTATGAGTATCCTATGCTATATCTGTGATCCTATGCAAACTTACATTCCCTACTTCACCCCTTAATTAATTTCAAAATAAATGTATTTCTTCCAGGTTTGCTTGCTGGTTCCTTACTATGCGTGCACATGGTAGTGAAAACTAACGAGTTGACCGTCGGTGACTACGTTCTTTTCGCCTCTTACATCGTTCAGCTTTACGTGCCTTTGAACTGGTTCGGCACGTATTACAGGTTAGTTGGCGTTTTAATATAATTTGTATATCGATCTAGGTTTCTGCTGGAGATGTTTGCAGATCTTAGCTACACAGGAGTTGCAGCAGTGGGAACGATAGATGGAAATAGTCCTGTAGAGATTTTTTCCTCTGTTCCTAATATAGTTGTGGTGCAATTTTCCTTGGGACTAACTTAGTCATCAATGGATAGGTTTTACTGGTGGAGTAGTAGATCCTGCCTACCATGAAGTTGCAGTGGTAAAGAAAATGTAGGACTGAAAAGAAATCAATGATAAAAATACCTTACTACCTAATATTTGAAGAACGCGAAACATTTTATTTTTATTTTTTTCTCAGAGCCATACAAAAGAACTTTGTCGACATGGAGAACATGTTTGACCTAATGCGCGTGGATTCTGACGTCCGCGACGCCGTCGGTGCCCCAGACTTGGTGGTGCGACGAGGCGCGGTGGAGTTCAAACATGTCTCCTTCGGATATGGGCCAGAGAGGCTAGTTTTGAACAACATTAGCTTCAAAGTACCACCTGGCAGCACTGTCGCTCTGGTACGTACGAGTAATACTAAACTTGTTGAATAGTTGTGTAGTAAAAATTAAGACTTGGTAGTGTGTGTGACAAGGAGCGGTGGAGTTCAAACATGTATCCTTCGGATATGGGCCAGAGAGGCTAGTTTTGAATAATATTAGCTTCAAAGTACCGCCTGGCAGCACTGTCGCTCTGGTACGTACGACTTATACTCAGCTTGATGAATAGTTGTGTAGTAAAAATTAAGACTTGGTAGTGTGTGTGACAAGGAGCGGTGGAGTTCAAACATGTATCCTTCGGATATGGGCCAGAGAGGCTAGTTTTGAACAATATTAGTTTCAAAGTACCGCCTGGCAGCACTGTTGCATTGGTACGTACAACTCACTAATTGCGTACGAAATTCTCACGCTTGATGCCATTCGTAGGTTCTGTTTATCAAAGTGAACTGACCGAATGATAAAATGAACCAGCTTTTCATAATTACAAACTAAGGTGGAACAGCATTTTAATTAGGTACTCATAGAAAGTAAAAGTAGTGTCCTATCCACTATTTATCCATAGATTTACCGGCGGTTTTTCGGTGGATTCTGCTCCCTAATGGAATGAGGAGTGGAACACTTAGAACCAAAACATTTAAAACTCTATAGGGCTCTGTCGAATATTTTGCCATCATAATTTGAATCTTATTGTTACCATATGGTCGAAAAGCAATGTTTTTTTACCATTCAGTGCTCTATAGAATATTTTTTCCTTAGGTTGGTCCCAGTGGAGCCGGCAAGTCTACGGTTATGCGGCTGTTATTCCGCTTCTATGACGTCAATGAGGGGGCGGTGTTGGTTGACGGGCAAGACGTGAGGACCGTGACCCAAGCGTCACTACGAGCCAATATTGGAGTGGTGCCGCAAGACACCGTGTTATTTAATAATACTGTCAGGTAATTTAAATTCAAATATTAAACGTAGACCTCTTGAGACCGTTGTATTTACAATTTATATTGGTGGCTCCGACTGACTGGTCGTATCTGAGCTAAAATATCTTGTAATATGAAAAGAGAAAGGCCTTATATTCGAACGTAGCGTCATCAAGTACGTTTTTGCAGGTACAACATTCAATATGGAAGACTGGATGCACCGACGGCTGATATCATTTCTGCAGCTAAGAATGCAGATATTCATGACAGAATTCTTACTTTCCCGGATGCTTACGATACTCAGGTAACAAACGACTATAGCATAATATGTATCAATGTCCCACGGAATTTTATACCTTATGCATTTGATTTTATATTTCATTTCAGGTTGGAGAAAGAGGTTTGAAACTCAGTGGTGGAGAGAAACAAAGAATAGCGATTGCACGCACAATTCTTAAAGATCCAGCTATAGTATTATTAGATGAAGCAACGTCTGCTTTGGATACGAATACGGAAAGAAATATTCAAGTAAGTGAGATAATTTATTCAAAGTGACTACTGTTGGTGAAAACCAGCAAGCGTTTGCAACCTTAAAACAAGTTGTTTATAGATTTTTTCTCTGACATAAAACGTCATAAATAATATTTATTTATATTTTTAAGGTGAATGAAGCTTTATCACTTGACTAATAAAGATTGTTTTTCCAGGCGGCGTTGGGTCGTGTATGTACGAATAGGACGACAATCATAATCGCCCACAGGTTGTCTACAATCATACACGCTGACGAAATATTAGTATTGAAGGAGGGAGAAATCATCGAGAGAGGAAAGTGAGAGATCTTATAACTAACCTTGTATAAAAATAGTTACCTATGCGCGAAGCTGCCTACCTATTTAATAGCATAATTCATGTGTTGGTTGGTTGTGTAACTTTAAGTGTAAAACGTATTTATGACTACGTTTCACCGATTTTATATTGTCGTGCAGAGATTTTAACATCGCAATAAACAGTTAGGCCCAGAACACACGGTGAAACGCAATTGCAACGAAACTGCAACTTCTAGGCTTCTAGTTACTTTTGAGTTGCATCTAAGTTTCTGCCATAGATTCCGTTGAGAGACCACACATGACGCGACCATTGGACCACGACTGGTTTTGCAAATAATTATGATGCTCAACAACTTTAGAATAGATGAATAGATAGTTGAAAGGGTTTTTTTTATGCGCGAGCTAACACTGCCTCAAACAAATATCGCATGCCCCGCCCACATCACGTAACAATCTGAATACATCTAAAAATCCCGTCATTATTTCCAGCCACGAAGCGTTACTAGCGCAAGGCGGTTTCTACGCGTCCATGTGGCAGCAACAGCTGGAAAACCGAAACAGCGCTGACAACAACGCCGAAGGAAACAACAACACGCCGCTTGAGCCACCGCAGACCGCGCCAAGCGCTTTCGGCCACGGCCACGGGCATTTCTGAACACAAAAGACTGAGTGACGGTGCTAGTCGGCGGGGAGAACCCACCACTCGTACAAACGCCCCTTCGCATTACTGTGCCATTATGGCCCACCAAACCTTCAGCTATTGGCCTTCTAACTGGCTATTACAGCCCATCACACCTTCAACTATAGGCCTTCTGAGTGGCGGTGCTAGTCGGCGGGAGAACTCACCACTCGTACGAGCCCTTCGCGTTACTGTGCAATTCTCACCTCCTCAATTGTGTCACGACGACAAGATGTGTGAAAGCGGTCGGTACCGCCGAGTGGGTGTCGTTAGTGCGACGAAGTGTTGTACGGATATGTAAGGAAACGTGTACATAACTTGACATTGTGATAGTATAATAAAAACGTACCTAGTAGTATTACGATGTGATGGGAAATTATACGTACTCAGTGTTAATAAAATGTTTCATATAATACAATGAGTTTTTATAAAATATAAATTAAAATTGACAATATTCATAAGGATTAAAATTTATTAAGAAAAATATATCAGAATTACAAATTGTAGGTATGTTAAAATTTAGAAAAATCAAAATTTTACTCTAAAAATTCTTCAGTTTATTTCATCATTTGGATGTGAGACAAATCAAGTCCCTGGAAATTAAAATATTGAGTGAAACAAAGATACGAATAGAAATTCAAAGAAACATGGACTATCAAACCAACATACGTCGCAAAAAGAATAAAGTGGCGTATCACCGGGCAGTCTAAGACCTGTATGTTTTTTCTTTCCTGCATAAAGAACAAATTAATATTATACGATAGCTTAGACATCTAGCTTATTATCCTAAACACCAGATAGGCTTTTATCGTTTTTTCGCCTTCTTACCGCTGTGTGATGTGGTGCTTTTCATTTGCAATTTCGAAATCACTTTCGACATTCTCAATTCCTCTTGGTATTTTTGGTTTTTGAGTTGGTATTCTGCCACAGACAACGCTGGTCTGGATTTGGCGAACTCTATGCTCCGCAAGGAGACCTCAGTTTTGTGTTCTATCTGGTCTATAGTTTTGACGTAGTCAGACGAGATTTTCCTCGCGACTTTCTTGCCGTGTTGGAGGTTGAGCACTTGTTCGTAAGACACCTCGTCTCGATCAACTTGGATGGAGTGGCGCAAGTACTTATCTCGCGTGTCTTCTTCACTTCTAATTCGAGCATTGGGTGAGAAAGTAAGAAGAATGCTCTTCTGGTGTGTCTCCGAAAATGGTCTGAAACAAAATTAATGATTAATTTGTTTTGCTTTTAGAGCTTATAGCGCTACAGCGCCGGTAAACTGATGTTGGTGAAGCAATCGAAGCCCGTGGGTCGTCGCACTAGGCGCGTGGAAGTTGTGGAGGTACTTTACTGTGAAACTTCTACAAATACTCAAACACGTACTTGTAATCCTTCAGCGTGGGTCCCTGGTCGTCGTCATAAGTGACGTCATCGTACAGCCGCTGCAGCACCGACTGCCGAACCATGTCGGTGTCGGAGTCGATGATGTCGGTGGGACGCACGAAGCCGGTAGGACGTCGCAGCGGGCGCGGGGGTGCCGTGGTGGCCATGGCTGATGGCGCGATTCGGACTTTACTGTGAAAAAAATAGGATCGTAGTTACACATACAGTGGGTCTACACAAGTGGCACTTTTTGATCGAATCGAACATCGAATCCGCTGAAACTCCATACTCTAAAAATAAGGCATTTCGTCCAACTTTCGTCATAAAACAGTCACATATGGCATTTTGTCTAGGGGGGCTGATTGATTCAAAAAGTGACGTTAGTTTATATCAGTCAATTACATACATGATTTCGTAGGTCGTGGATCTATTTTCAGCAGTAGGTATGCTAAATGTCCTATTATATAAATGCGATGTAACGGGTGATAACTTTAGCTTAGCTAAAATCGGCGATTTTATTTATTTGTTTACTGACCGAGGCGTGTCAATATCTTCCTCTTCCATGCCCTGTTCAGTTTTGAAAATGTGTATTTTCTCTAGATCTTCTGGGCGAACGAAACCAGTCTGTCTTCTTTTAATCTTTGTGTGTACTTCTTTATCGGCAAATGGTATACTAATAGAAACTTTTCTAAAAAAACAAATAAAATGCAAAATAAAAAGTGAAAAATAGGTGCCTACAATACGCGAGAATTCATAAAAAAGTAAAGGAAGTAACGCTTTAATTAGATTCGATTAGATGTTTCTCGACAACTGCATGCTGCATCGATGCGTTGTAGTTAGGCATAATTTCTAATCGCTATTGATAGGGGCTGACTTACTTGTCGTGTGAAGCTTCTCTTTGTCTATAATCTATAGACGCTAATCTGGAAGACAAAATTAGATTTTTTTTTATAAGAGATTTTGTTTATTCCTCGTTAATCTATCTACCTAGTACAGCAGCACTGGGAATATTTACCTGAGTCGCCTCAACTCATCATCAGTTATTAGTTCCGACCTGTAAGACAAAACGTATGTCTAATTTTCCACAAAAAAGGTAATAAAATAATAATATACGAGTAAACAAGTAAATGTTTACTTTCTAGCGTTTTCGAACAAGTTCAACTTTCCAGCTCCTCTTGCTATCGTTTTAATCACTCCACCCGCAAAGCTCACTCGGTCTACGTTGTTCCTGGTATAAAAAAACAGTGCTTTATTTATTACTTTACGTATTGAAGGAAAACCATAGAAAAAATAGGAAATAACATACTTTAGATACTGTCTTATTTCTTTCTCGTCGTCCGACTCTAAGGATTGTGCTGAAAAGTTGATTAAATTAAATTAATTATTGTGTAATCTTTTAATTTTGACAGATTAAGTACATGAGGCACATGAAATAAAGAAATATATCTTACATGACTCCGATTCACTCTCATTATCAAATTGGAAGTCAAATAATATTTCGGACGGGAACGAAACCTTCATTTGTGCGGGAGTCTTTATGGTAGCATCCGTAACTAAATCGCTTTCCAAGCAATAGTGACCTTGTAGGAATCTGTAAAATGTTACCAGCAGCATGTATGAATTGAAAGCTCCGATGTTAACACCAAATTGTTGTTATCATCATCATCATGAACTTCGAGACATCCTTAAGTATCGATCACCCCCCTTATCATGAATAGACCGCAGATTTGTCATGCAGATGTGCCAGTGAGTACTAATCTGCGCGATTTGTATCACCCCCTGATGCTTGGCACCCGGGGCGGTCCGCCCCCACCGCCCCCCCCTTACGCTGCTACTGATTAATCTTAAGTTATACCAATTCATTTACTAACTTTTTCAAATCATAAGTAGAATCAACGTCGCCGGGATATGGCACATCGGTCAACGGGATGTAAAAAGGCCTTTGCGGTTTGACTATCAGGCTGAGAGTGGCGGCTATCGACAGGTGTTTGTAAGTCGTTTCTTCAGGCTCATACTCCTCCACGTCAAACTCGTTGTTCTCATCACTCATAACCTGACTTTTCATTGATTGACTCTGCATGCTCTTAGCGCTTTGAGCAGGTTGGCCCCTAATTTGGCTCTGTTGAGTCTTCACTTGACTTGGCATCTTGGCCTGACTTTGAAGTTGTTTTTCGATTTCTTCCTTTTTGCGCATGAACCTATGAAAATATTACAGCATTAATGAATCAATTTCTTAACGATATAGAGGTTAATACAATAGTGTACCGTTTTGTGGCTCTTAAATTTCCTGCTTCACCCTCTTTCTCCTCCTCGCCTTCACCCAAAAGTTCTTTTGTGAGACGTTCAACCATTTTCAATTCAATTTCCAGGTAAACTCTTTCTATAAGATTCTAGAACAAAAAACATCATGGCTAAATAGAGTTAAGATCTATGTAGGAAAATGACACTAAGGATTTTCAGGTATTGACCTCTATAAGTAGTTCACCCAGTGCATTTAAGTCTTCAATGTGTCCATCGATGTATTCATTTGCGCCTTTATTTATCATGATATCCTGGCATTCCATGTTAAAGATGCCAGCTTTGTAAATTATGATTTCCTCCTTTGGGGATTCGTACCAGGTGGGCACGGCTTCAATCTTTTTTAGAGTTTCATCTCCCTCAATAAGTTGCCCGAACGCCACGTATCTGTAGGCCATCCATGGTGCCGGTTGTAAGATAACGAAGAATTGTGTTGAGCAGTCCATATGTCTGAAATGAATTTTATGTGGAGGTAAAGCATACATATATTTAGATGACTTCGTTATCATGACTTCGGACTTAGTGGAGCATAATGTTCCCAAAACACAAGTAAAGCGTCACGAAAAGCAGTCGGGTCTAATGCCCCAACACATTGGCCACAAAAGAGACAAAAAACGATGGTGCTTAAAATTTAATGTCATTGCATCGGCGCACATACCCTAGCGTTGAAGTGACCATGTTGGTCGATTATAGCCATCAACAATGTTATTAAAATTTTGTCTATGTAACAGGCACAGCGGATAGCAAGCAACCATCATAAAGTAAGAATCAGCTAGAGTAAATTGACATTTTAGTTAGAACTTAGAACAATGAAAATTATAGTTGGTCACCTTCCATCATTAGCCATGCAGAGTACTCCACGTCTATCATGCGGTACGATGAAGTTCTCGCACTCAAGATCGGTGTTCTTCAAGTTAAACCCACCGCCTTGGATCCACCCGTCTTTCACGATGCGGTGTATGGGTGTGCCGCTGTACCCGCCCCTGGTATCTTTGCAGAGACGAAGAAAATTCTCGCTGGTGTATGGCACTATATCCGAATATAGCTAGAATAAAGGAATGGCTGGATGTGACTTTGGATTGTTTACAAGCAGGACTTTTGCTAGACTTGCTCCACGTTGGGCGCCACTGCAAGGTTATATTTTTTGTTCTTACCATAAACACTAACGTCCCAATGTGTTCTTCATTTATCGCTATGTGCATATAAGCACACGATCTCTGCAAACGCAAAGCATAAATAAATAGCTGATCATTGAACGAATTTTTAAACATAACAGACTTGACCTTGCAAATCAATCACCCCAGAGCACCGTATGTAACTGGCAAAGTTTGCTACAGCTTCACTACAATAATCGAGAATCAAGTGATAAATGTATTTAGACTCGATCAACTCCTTCAGTTCCTCCTCACCACCAAGGAATTTGTCGCCAATAAGAACTGCTACCCTCGATTTTAGGCAGTGAGCTAGTCCTCCATGTTGGAGTTTTAAACTTCTCCATACGTCTTCCCATTCTACAGTGTTTACACCTAGAAACACCAACAAAACACATTCAAAAGTGGTAAAGTACTGGGTTCGATTCCTTCCTAGTCTCTGATCATCAAATCTAGTCATACTTTCCGGTTCGTTCCGGTCTCCAGATTGGGGGCCTAGCTAGACTTGCTACAGCGAAAAGATTCATGTAGGTCTAGGTATGCCTAATGTCGCTTAACCACAGCCTAAACTTTGAATTGAAACTTGTGTACCTCTAATAGCTGGGACATCAAACTTTTTCCATCTGTACTTGTGTAAACCTTTGACCAAGTTCACGCAATAGATAAATTCTTTAGTTACTCTATCACCTATCACGGTGAATTGAATTCTCTCTGCATCTGGAACCCTTTCTTTTAGCTTTGGATACTTCGGATTTCTTGCAGAGTTGTGGGCATGCTTAATCCTATGTGAAAGAATATCTTTTATAGTGTTTGCCCAAGGGTGTCTCGATAGTGGTTTTGATTGAAGAGGAGGTTTTAAATTAAATAAACTAGACATTATATAAAAATGTTTGTTCTTTCCTATTTGCTGATTGACATTGTGTAAATTAAAATGTCACGTTTCCATCAAGTATTTTTTTTTAATTCAAAGTCTATTGACTTCCAAACACAGTTTTATTTTTATGAGAATATTTTAGATTAAATTCCTGTAAACTTAGATTAATATTAATCTAAGCCTGTAAATGTTTATTTCGGACCGGGACATTAAAAAAGTTAAGTGTCACTGTCAGACTGACAGTAAATTAATCTGTAGTAAACACAGATAATGATAGATGCAGCATGTGTCAAAAATTGTATGAAGCCGAGCGTGCCACTTTTTAAACGTCATTAGTGTCATTTTAGCGAATTTTAGTGATTGCCGCAACGTAAAAGTAATCGTATCATCGTACTGCATTCGCAAAGTCATCGAATGATATCGTGTGACTCGATTCAAAAATTAATTAATTCCGATAAAACTGATATTTTGTTAAATTTATAGCTAGTCTGACTGTGGATTAAAATAATTTTGTAGCGGTAGACGTTATTCTACAATTCTACATTATTAATTTGCAAATAATATTTTTGTTGTGCCTAATGTTTATGAAAGTAATGATTGTTATTCCATTATGTTAATAGTACTACTAGTAATTCATACTTAATTCCATACTTTTAAATATCCTAGTAAGTAAATGACCTAGTTTCATAAAAAAAAGACTATTTTACTCAAGCTTTTAATTTTTAATAAATGTAAAAATGCGTAGTTTTGCCAATACGTTTTCTTTCATAAAGCTAAGTCAGGTACCTAGTTTTGAAGATATTTCTAAACGACAAAATCTCGGTCGTCGTATACATAGACTAGTAATAGTGTATACTGCGATCACTGACCTAATTTCTTGATTTGTATATTTCGACGTTATACAGTGCACTCTGTCTTCCGCGATCACTGATCTAACTTGTTTTATAATTCTTCTACTGCTACTTTATTCTAATTAATTACATATTTGTTACTCGTTGCTGTTAATTACAATTCTCAATCCGTAAATAATTTCTTCTCTCTACCGTGTTCGTACTACTGTCCTCGTAAAATCATCGTATCCGATTGTTGTAATCGGATTACATGAACATCACTCGACCATGTATGTCCATTTGGACATATCGGAATGGCACGCTTTGACTAGCAACTTGCTGTATCTACTCTAATCCATATCTGTGGTAGTAAATTTACGTCAGCTTTTAATAGTGCTGTAAACATTATCGACTGTAGTAGAACTATCGATATGCACAAATGACATTGTCAAAATCTTGGTTAGTCAAAATTCATAGTCATCAAAGAAGAAAAACTATCGACTTACCTGTAGCATTCAGCGGGATATGATTGTCATTACATAAAAATAGTGGAGACATGATGACACCAAGATTCTGTGAAGAAAAAAGAACACAAAGCGTGAAAGTTATTAAAAAAAAATTAATCGCTCATTGTCAGCGTCTCCCTCCGTAAGTGACTAGTAGCTTTCACCACATTGATAAATTTTGCCTGATGCTACTTGAATATTTTAAGTTTTGATTTGTTGTATCATAAGTAAGTATCGATATCTACAGCTAGACCTACATAACTTACATCACTACTTGGAACTGTCAATGTCAATACTGTCACTCAAAAACGAATGTGGATTTGTTTAGAAAATCTGGAAAATAAAACTGAATTATCTTCTGGAAATATCACTAAATGTTGTGTTTTTTGTTTATAATTAATTTGTGTGATGTGAAATTTGTTCGCTGTATACAACAGCTTCTTAAATTTTTAACATAAAAATAGATAAAATGGATACAAATTTACCGCAAAGTTTTTCTCTAATTTGTGGGGATTTGTGCAATCAACTTTATGTAAAAGAATATAATAAAAGCAAAGTTAATTCTCTCATTGATGAACTCAATGCTCAACCGTACAAGGGAGAGCTATTTGTCAGGAAACAAGTAAGTTTTATAGGTTATGTCTAAGAGAATGANTTTGTTCACTACACAATTTTCAACAAAAAAATGTCAGAAAATGTCATATAAAAAAAAAAAAAGTATTTTCTTTAGTGCCAGTACTTTTGCGCCACCCAGTATAATTCTTTATGTATGACTACCCCGCCCCTCTCCTCTCCCAAGGTCATAAACTGGGCATGACTTCCCCCTCGGCCAGAAGTTGGGTATGATTTACCCCCCGGCCCTTGCCCCTACGCAAGCCATACCTAGCTTCTGGCCTGGGGGGAGGGGGAGGGGTCAAGTCATACCCAACTTCTGGCCATAAGCATAAGCTGGATATGACTCCCCTTCGGCCAGAAGCTGGGTATGACACCCCCCCATGCCAGAAATGCCAGAAACTGGGTATGACTTGACCCCCCCCCCTCCCCCAGGCCATAAGCTGGTTAAGGCTAGCCCCTCCCCCCAGCCCTAGAAGAATAAATGTTATTAAAAGTTTTTTTCTAAAACTGATAGTTTAGCCGGAAAAAATATTTTCCATCCCATTAGTACGCCGGCTGCGCTTGATTCGGATATAATGACGTCACGCGGCCTTGCGTACGTTGACTTTTAGCGGCAAAAACGGCCTATGTTTATTACTTAATATCTTCGTAAGTAATGGTCCGATTTGGATAATTCAAAAAGATGTATCTTTCTTATGTCTTAAAGATTAACGTAGATACTAGTTTTATTGAATTTTCTACAACAGTACTGATCCTCATTTGTGAACTTTTTTGTCCACTTTCAACATCATTTACGTTCTACCTTTTTAATTCTAGGATGCAGCGACGTTAATTACTGCTCTATGTGTAAATATCAAGCCAGAAGACGAATTTCTAGCAGCAAAGACTTCACATTTGTTAAATAGCATTCTTTCAAAGCAGAATTTACAATTTGATGTAAATTACTTAGAAAAAGTTGTGACATGGTACATTAGTTGTATGAAGAAATGTTCAGATATTGTTTTGCCTGACATTCTACACAATCTTCAATGCATTTTGCAACTAAGTCCACAGTTGGGTCAAAAGGTAACATAACATATTAACATTGGTTACTGATTCTAAATATATAATAACTATGATATTTATTTCTATGTCATTTCTTATTCTAATTAGTGTCTTATTATCTGTATTTCAGTTTTCAAATACTCTAATTGGACCACAAGGTATTTTACTAAACCTAATAGACATTGAAAAGAATCAAACACTGAGTGTGCAAAGCCCGCTACAGAACTGTCTTATTGCTTTAAAGTGCATAACTTGCTGCATATCTGCAGAGGATACTAAAGCAAATGATGGAACTAACACTGTGCCTGTAGAGATCAAGGAACAGATCTCAACTATAGTTGTTAAGTTGCTGATGAAAGGTTCTATTAAGTCTCAAGATGAGTTCTTATATTGTAAGGTAAGGGTAACTCTTTTATGTATTATTACATCAGTTTTAAAAACTTCTCTGTTACTAAAATGTTTTTTTTTATAGATTTCTTCATTCATTCGTTTCTTTCAGCTAAATGACGTCCACTGTTGGACAAAAGCCTCCTACAAAGATTCCCACAACAATCAGTCCTGTACTAGCCTATATAGAGTTCTAAATGTAACTTAATATCTTCCTGTAAGTAAGTAACTTGAAAAGGGTCAATGTAATAAAAAAAAATTGTTTTCAGGTAATAATTGCAGCCCTAAGAGTATTGACTCAGCTATACTTTAATGACCAGAAAGTGCCTGTGTCATTACCTGACGTTGTTGGCTTGTGCCGATACTTTATTCTTTATGGTCTGGTGACACAGGGTCCCAAACCAGAGAGAATAATGCCAGCACAGCAAAGCATAGCAACTGCACCTGTAAAAATTCAACCTAAAGGTGGAAAGGTATAACTATTTCCTATCAATAAAAACATATTTCATCACTAGCTTTCCGCCCGCGGCTTCGCCCGCGTGGAATTTTGTCTGTCACAGAAAAACTTTATCGCGCGCGTCCCTGTTTAAAAACGTCCCTGGATAAAAACTATCCTATGTTCTTTCCCGGGACTCAAACTATCTCTATGCCAAATTTCATCAAAATCGGTTGCGAGGTTTAAGCGGGAAAGCGTAACAGACAGACAGACAGACAGACAGACAGAGTTACTTTCGCATTTATAATATTAGTTGGGATTGAATCTGTATCTATTGTTGTATAGCTACATTTTATTTTTAATTGATTTAAATGACATCCTTCTTAACCGATTGAGTCCCAGACGACATTAATTAATGTCATAACAATTGATTATCTATTGTGTCTAGATTCGCAGAGCTTGAAGGATTAATGCTCTTTGAAATGATGCCTGAAGTTGGTGCAATAGTTTGTGTTTAAAATATGATTTTCAGAAACAAAAAATCAGGAAGCAAAGGAATAACGCCATTGAGAGTCTAAAGAAAGAGATACCAGTATCAGACCACAGTCTCATGAAGGATGTTGATAAGTTCGAAAATAGCTCAGCATATAAACCAGCAAGTAAGAACTACTTGGAGCCACAGAGAGCTAAGAACACTTGGGTGCTTACGAGCGATTCTGACATGTCTGATGTTGAGAACAGCAGAGAGGCTAAGCTTGTAGCTTTGAAGTCCAGAGTGAGGCAAAGTGCTTCCAATTTATTATTAGTTTTAGTTAAGGTTTGTTCCTATCTTTTCCCAAACCATTTTGAATTCTGATATTATCATGATTAACAGACCTAACTTAGGCCCGGTTTCCACCAAGGCGGGGCGGAGCGTAGTAGAGCGGAGAAGGGTTAAATTTTATGATTATTTCGCTCCGCACAGCTTCGATCCACGCCGCGCCGCCGCCGCCGTCAAATTCCATAGAAAAATTATTCTGCCCGACACATTTCTCTTCTCTCTTCCATTCCGCATTGGAAATCGGGCCTTAGTCTGTTTTCTCACTCGTAAGTATGATATACCTACCTCTGCTATAAAAATTTAAAAATATGTACAACTATATCCCATTGTAGGTAACAGAAAGGAAAGACATGTTCGGCTACTGGTGGGCGCTATTGCCCGATTCACCAAATACTGACAACTGGTTATCTGACGATGGTGCTAAGAAGACTCTGGCGTATTGCGCGGTCATTGACCCCATCGCAAACAGCAGAGCTAGCGTGTTGAGTGTCATACTGGCACTTCTCTCTGGTTCTAGAGTTTATCTATCTCAGGCAGAAAGCAGGTAAAGATTAATTTTGAACACCGATAGAGCTACTGCGAAACGCTATTTATGTAGTTTCGGGTCTATCTGTTACTGTCGCTAATGCTGGCATAATGCGTGAGAGGGATGGCAACATTTGAAACCTTGGATACTGTAAATCGGAGTAACTCTGGTTGTAGTAAAATACAAGTTTATCTCCTTCATTAGTGTTCAATATCAATGCTATATTACAAAAAGAGATATAGTATTTTCAATATTTTGTATAGTTTATACCTACGTCTTTTGCATTCTTCCACAGCAAAAGGGAAACCAAGTCCTTCATACCGTTTTCTGTATCTCTTGGCTATGTTATCACATGCATGCACAAAGTGTTGGTAAGTATACTGGACAGCGAAAGAAGCCACGCCGTTATCATAGTGGCCTTGAAATGTTGCGCTGCCTTGGTGCAGTCGACTCCGTACCATAAAATGCAAGAAGGTCTGATAAGTGAGCTGGTACGCGCTACGAGGAAGTTTTTAGTGCGTAAAGGTAAGAAGAAATACTTGAGATTTGTCACGGCATAGCATCGTTCCTTAGGATGATGACACGGCGTGAATCACTTTGCATTGCATATGACTTGGGCCACACCGTGAGTTTAGGGGGCCCTGGGCTAACACTACTAAGGGGCCCACCTGCTATTTACTCTTTCGCATTATCGTCTATCTTTGACTTTGACTTGACTTAACTAGGGGCCCCTTGAATCCACGGGGCCCTGGGCCCAAAAAGCTATTGTAGATCCGGCCCTGCACACGACACGATGCATGTCGCGTCGGATTCGATGTGGTTGAGCCCTATGGTAATAAAGGATGTCAGAACCTAATAACCTATATCATGCTAAAAACGAAAAAGTATTCGAGTTTGAGAATAGCGCCGTATTGTAATGACGTGAGACCTATCAGTAATAATAATCAGAGCGCGCCGCTTATCGTGTCAACTGAAGCACCAAATTATGTTTCTTGTGTTCCAGACATCACATTGCAAGTAGGAGCTCTCATTACGATGGGGTGCGTTCTATCCATCGACCCCAAAGTAGATGAGTTACTCAAAGCAATACAAAAAGACTCCATCCCTGTCAAGGCGAAGCCTGAAGTAAACCAGAGTATAGTCAACGAAGACTGCGATGACTTTGAAGAAGGATATTCTGATGATGAAATGTTTGCTGAAAACCAATTGGATAGTCTAAATAACGAGTTTGATGAAGCAAAAAGTTCTAGCTTCAAGTCTTGGATTTTGGACATTTGCTTCAAGAATATGGGCTGGGTTTTGAAGAGGAAAGAAATGACGGTATGTACTAAGTCCTTTCTAAAAACGCTACACTTACTACAAACTACATATTATTTATAAAATGCCCAAATAAATGTTAGTGAAGTCTAATTAATTTGTCGTCGGAAACTCGAAATATTATTTGTTCAAACTCCCGGTAAAATCTCAGCAGCGATCAGCAAATATTTTGCTGTTCTCATAAAAATAATACATACTACTTTTATGACAGCAAAATATTTAATTAAAGTCAGCCTTGTGATCATCGCCATAGGAACTAAATTACTTCATCTATCTATCATTCTTATTCCAGAAATGTAAACCAGCAGCGATACCAGTGATCCTAGAGTCTCTCCAAGTGCTATCGGCCATCGCATTCCACCACGCTGGTGACGTGCTGACCAGTCACTTAGCACCGCTGACGGACTTGCTGTGCGAGATGCTGAGACACGAACACCAAGACGTGGTCGTGTATACTGCGAAGATGATCAGCGTGATGGGTGACGCTTTACAAAAATTAGGTACGTGTGAAATCCTGGTAGTTTTTATCATTTTGCTTGTTATTTGAATGTATACTGCATTGTTGTCGAAGTCAGGTTATGTTCAAAGCTTAGTGGAACTTTTTAATGCTTTATAAAAACTCATAAAACTCATTTTATTTTTGCAAGTAGGCTTTTAAAAAGCACTTTTACACGTCCCAGTATTCACCCTACCACTGCTTCGGGACAATAAATGAGCCAGTGTTAGAAGAAGCAGCGCAAGAAACTCAAGTCACTATTGTCTGCCTTCACCTTACTCTAAAAGTAATTTTCTCCTTGCACGTAAATGTTCGAGACGAGATGTCGAGATTCCAGTCGTCTAAATAGACGCAGTTACAAAACTGCAACTGGGAACTGTATTAACTATCCTAACTCGAGAGAACGAGATATGGTATAGGTTTCTGGTAAAATGGTAAAAACCCGACCAGGGTACGCCGTTGCCCTTTTACTTGTTTATAACTAAACTTGTATTTGTGATTCCAGAACAAACCGACCAGCCTCCTCCCCTGAACCAGTGTGTGAGCATGTGGCAGGCGCTGCTTACGCCGTTATCATCCGTAATTCAGAGCCACGAAACGTCGCCCGCTAAGGCCATCGTGTGTGACTGCATCGCCAACATTGGAGAAAGGTCCTTCAAGGAACTGCCGGTATGTTTTTGTCAATATGATTGAGGCGAATCAGCTTAGTCGCTTTTAACAGAATAAAAATAAAGTCGCTTTATCAAAGGAGTCAGAACTTGTATTCTGTGAATGAATGGTACAATAATCTTTTTTAAAAAAATATTGTTTTTGACGATCATGTCTTATGTCTTTCTTGCATGACACTTCTGCTTTTCATTAGCAAATACATTTTTTTACTATCATCAGGGTCGAAGGTAAGTCGAAGTATACCCACTTAACATGAAAGTCATAGGCTTTCGAAGGCATCTACATCAGGAGACTTAAGAAAACTTATTAATGAATCCAAGATTGTTCCAAGAAAATATTTTAGATGTACATTTTGTATTTCTTTTTTTATTTTCACACAGAGGCGGCTACAAGTGCTATGCTGCACCCTACTCGTTGGTTCGTATGGCGACGAGGAGCCGAATGTACGCGCGGCCGCGGTGCGAGCGCTAGCTATGACTGTGATGTACAGGACTCTTAGAGAAGTAAGTAGCATTTAATTATGTAAAAACAGTAAAAAAAACCTTTTCTTTACCGCAACTGTAAACAAATCGCTAAAAATATTTTAAAACATTCTAATGTATGACAACAATTTGCGTCACAAAAAAGTGACGACCGAGATGCTAAACATTTCTCGATGGACTTTGGCTCGAACTGGAATAAACTAGCAGCAAAGATTCGATAGTGTAAATTGATTTGATATCTTCTGTCAAATGTGGAAATAAATATAGTTTTTGTTACCTTTTTCAAATGGTCGGCGATTCCAATGGCAGGACCCTTGCTACTTAAGAAATACCAGGCAGGATATATTATGATCCTTGTTACTCTCGTATTAACATACTCCTAAATCTGTTAGTCTTCCCTGGCCGCCCATCTTTTAGGTAAAAGCATCCTGGTCGAGTTAACTGCGCACCGGGCTTCCGTGACGTCACATCGACGTTCTGGTTTAAGGGGCGAACACGGGGAAGTGTGCGAGTGAGTGCGAGGGAGAGTCGCATTCCAACGAGGTGTGCGTTAGCTTGATCAGGTTGTACAGGGGATATTTTAAACATTTTCCTTGAATAATACGAGTATAATGTTTTGTTTATTGCAGGACATTAATTTTGTAAGTGACTGCGGGGAATATATCATCAGAGCACTGTCCGAGTCTTCTCTGGTCGTCCGGACTAAAGGCGCGTGGGCTTTGGGCAACCTTAGCGATGCGCTCGTTCTAAACATGTAAGTATCCATATAATAATGTTGATATATTCCACTTCAAGGTCTATTTAGGAATCAGCTAAGGGTTTCCAAATTATGTACTTGTACCTAGAAATGAGGTTTTAAGGCATATTTTCCATACAAATTCTTCTTCTTAAAGTATTATAAGCACCAAGAGTAGTTTCTTGATTAAGTATAATATTTTCAAACACATCACACAATGTATATTACGTTTTTGTTGCAAAATCGCACCTTTCACAATTAAATAAGGTGCCACAATCCTCACTTTCATGTGCCATCATCTTTTCATCGTTCTATCTAAAATTTACACAAGCTTATGAAATCACTATTTTTCTCAATCCAATCATTATTACGCGGAGCTGATCCTAATAACGCAACTTATTTCAACAAAACTAATTGCGTCAATATTATTTTCAATCCGTGGAATATTTCAATCTTCTGATACAGGGAGGACCCCGAAACAGAGCGTATAGACGAGGAACTGTTGTGCCGACTACTAGAGATCAGCGTCAAGTGTGCAGCGGATAACGATAAGGTTTGACCTGTGTTTTTTATTTGCGATTGTGAAGTATGAATGGCGAGTTATTTTTGGATAGTAACTATCAACGGAAAATTTATGTCAGAAGGGTGGATAAGACTACGGTAAAATAGCTTAATCTTAAAATAAACAAAAGTTCATATTTTTTTGCATTTAGGTCTTTAACCCTTGCCAGTGCAAATATTATATTGCCACAAAAATTTGAACTTTATTTCACTCAACGTAGATTAGAAACCAATGAAAATTTTCATTAGGTTGTGCCTTATAAAGGGAAGGGACCATCATGCTTATCGATGCTTCCACGTTCTAACTTAGCGATTTTGATACCATTTTCTAGATACTCTAGCTAGATCGTCATCGATTTATAATACAATACACATCCAAATGAGACTCACATGTGAATCAGTAACATAATGTTACATACTATGTTGTAATATGGTTTTCGTATGATTTTCCCCCATTGTAACTTCAGAGAAATGTGCAATATCAAGCTGCATTTTCCTCTGAATCTAATCGCGAGCATCCGCCAGCGAACATATTATAAATTGTCATTTTGTTTATAAATTACTAGCTGACCCGGCGAACTTTGCTCCGCCTTAATGGCAATAAATAAGCAGACTTTTTTTATTTCGAACGGGATAAAAAGTATCCTATGTCCTTCTCCTGGCTCTAAACTACCTCCCTGACAATTTTCAGGTAAATCGGTTCAGCCGTTCTTGAGTTATAAGTGGAGTAACTAACACGACTTTCTTTTATATAATATAGATTCAGTAGTTGATGGGATCAATATAACTTAGCCTGGAAACTGATAACTTGCTACGGAATGTGTTGTAGGCACGTGTCTGTGATAAAGCAAAATTAATGAAGCGTGTACATAGCCATAACAAATCACATAAATTCATAGACTTTAAATACTTGACTTAAAGTTTTAAATTGCTTGGCAATATTTCAGCTTGTTTAAGTATCTAACAATGTAAATAATGAGATGCACGGGACTTAAATAGGATTTCGCAATGTTACCGTAATGCTGTCAGTTACTGAAGACTACTTGTGGTTATAATGAAATGACTCACTGTTATCAAATTGTAAATAATGGTGATCTCCCATACTGACATTACGTGATAGTGATTGTTTTATTAAAAAAAAATGTTAGACTCAAAACATTTGTCAGTAAAGAGAGAGAGAGAGAGAGACTGAGGGAGTGATGAAGACAGAGAAAAGTAATGCTTTTTTTTCTTTTGAATTTTATTATCTAAAAAATTTTGAATAATCTAGAGGAAATAAGAAAAAATGCATAAAATAACCTCTAGCTAGACAAAAGATAAGTCACTCTTATTCATATCTTTAGATGCATGCAGCGCGGTTGAAACGTCAGACATGTAAAAGGTGAATTACCTAGTCCTAGAATGACCGAATATATCTCCGCTTTGACGTAACATCTAACCAAAACAAAATAAAATAAAATGTATTCTGAGGTAAAACTTCTTACAGGTCAAAATGAGCGCAACCCGAGGTCTAGGGAACTTTCTTCGCCTCGTCAGAGATTACACGGTACAGTCTCATCCACAAATGAAGACGCTAAGCGAGTCGGCCATAGACAAGCTACTGGACTGTGCGTGTAAAGTATCCAATATGAAGGTGCGGTGGAACGCTTGCTATGCTATGGGAAATGCGATGAAAAACGAGTATTTGTTTACGGGATTCAGCGGGTGGCAGGTAATTATCCCTATAGATATTATAAAACTGAACAAATTATGTCTATTTGTTACGCTTTCACGCCTACTAAACCGATTTTGATGAAATTCAGTATAGAGATGGTTTGAGTCCCGGGAAATGACATAGGATAGCTTTTATCCCGGTTTTTGATGACAAACTTTTGAGATTCTTCTTCTTTTCAACTAAAAGACGTCCACTGCTGGACAATGACATCCCTCAAAGATTTCACAATGACCGGTCCTGCGTGTCCAGGTGCTTTCCTTGACTTTGACCAGAGATTACCTCTAGTATTTACATTTTATTTTAATAGCTAAAAATACAGCAAATAACTCTTTTCATAGAAATGTAAATAAGTTATTTGTTGTAAATCCCATTTTATCTTTCTTAAGTCTATAATTCTTAAATGGGGTTTTTGACTGAGACTTACCTATATCGTTTTCCTTCCTTATCATATGTTTTCCAAGGTCGCCACCTTATTTGAACAATACCTACGATCATATAATTTTATTGTCAGTCAGGTACATATTTTTATGAGTCTTTTTACATCACGTTACTTACCTATCTTGGATAAATCCAAAACAAATACATACAAGGAATCCCTTGTGACTTCACCAGACAATGTTGATAAACATTATCTGTAAAAGTAATTTAAAAGTCGTTTATTTTCTGAAAATAAGTTTTTATCCAACGCTTTTACACCTTCCAAATAACTTAACCCTACTGCTTCTATCTACCCCATTAGCTCCGGTAATTTTAAGCGTTAATTTAATGGATATTAAACGATTTTCAACCTTATTCTCCTCAGAGTAAGGTGTTCCCAAAACTGTGTGGTCTAAGCCAAGACTGCAAGAACCTAAAGGTTCGCATAAACGCCGCGGTGGCGCTGCGAGCACCCGCTTTGAGACCACACTATGGCGACCATTTTACGGCGGTGTGGAGGGGCGTGATGGCCGCTATGGAAAACGCTGCTAATGTTGACGATTTTACAGAATACAAACACAAAGACAACCTCATTGAACAGGTAAAAATCACTTCATACTCAGATTAGGTTTTTTTGTACTAATTAATATTGGTTGCTACACAACGACTCATCACGCTCAATAAAGTATCATCTTTAATTGGGTATTTGACACCATTTCCCAATAATTCTAAAGCACAACTTTTTTAAAAAGACACTTCTTTCTGGTCTTAAAAACTTAATCAATTTTTAATTACCTGTAAATTACGATTTTTGGTTGCATTATAATTGAAAAAAGTATTTTCATTGAGTTGATAAAATTGTGACGTCACATGCTAGTATTGCCGAACAAAATCTATGGGCGAGTGTCGTTTTGACAGTTTTGAAAAGTACGTCAATTGATTGGTGGTGTCAAATACCCTATTGCTACATTGTAAATACATACTTAAAAAAAATTGTATTATGTTTATTATTATCTTTCTGCATGACCCGTGGTTGACTGGCAGAGAATGCCATCCGGCATTAAGTCCGCCACAGTGCATTGTTAGTTTGTGTGCTGAAGATTTAATAAATAAATAAAAATAAATAAATATTATAGCTAAGGCATTTTAAGAAATGAAAGGCTAAAAGTTCTTACACACCTTATATTTTAACAATGTAAATTACACGTCGCGTTCGTTACAGAATAAACAAAGATTTTCAATATGCTAAGGCGACTAAATAAAATGTTTCGCCATATTCATTAGCATGACAATGTTAAAAAAATCAATCGCTTAATGTGTAACAAATGAAAAAATCCTGCTTAATACACACGTTCTTCAGAATAATTTTCTAAAAGCTAGCTCAAATAAATGGAAAATTTAAGAAATTTTTAAGCAATTTCTCAGATAAAGCTATTTTTAGTACGTGAGACGGTGTCCTGATGAAACTAATAGTATCATAGGTCTAGCCCGAATTCAGTCAGTGCCTGAGGTATGGGAACGGCACGGGAGGGAGTTTTTGAGGCGTCAAACGTCAGCGACACTTCAGATTTGTATGCTCTGTCTCGTCATAATATGTCATTGTCACCTAAACCTATAGCATATACAGTACCCGGCATTAAATATTGCATCGACCTTTGGAAAGAGAATCGGTTTATTTCGGCTCGTAGAGCGTTATCTCTGTCGCACAATAACTATACGATTGACAAAACGTCATTGATAAAACATTATTCAATGAAAATATTGTCCGAACCCTTAGTATTTCTCTTCGACAAATACTTTAACACATTGTGAACCACTTTTCTTTCACGACTATAAAATTTTTTAGCAATTTAATTCACAAAATCAATTGCACACATCTATATAATATAAAAATGAAACCCGTTTCACAAAATATAACAGAAGGTAAACTCATGTATGTACCTCGCTTTGCATACCTCTCTCGCTCGCACGCTCGGCCGTCGCGCTAGGGTTGTCTTGTCATGTGTTGCGTTTATTTCGTTATGATAGAAAAATGTAACTCTTAATACTATGCAAGAAAGACAATAACAGATATCCACGTATACTTATTTATATTTAGTACGTTATTATAGTAATAGTTTGCAAACAAATACACGAGAAGGAAGTAGTATTTAGTTGAGTGGTTGACACTATTATCCAACTAATATTATAAATGCGAAAGTTTGGATGTTTGTTGCTCTTTCACGCGATCGCTACTGAACGGATTTTGATGTAACTTTACAGTATTATTGTTTATAACCCTGAATAATATATAGGCTATAATTTATGACGATCTGTGACAAACTAAATTTCACGCGGGTGAAGCCGCGGGCAAAAGCTAGTTATCTAATAATTCCTAAAACCTCTCTAAACNGTTACATACTGTTTGAGATTCATGCAATCAAGGAACTGATGAAGTTTTTTAGTGCTTGGATCATCTGGTTTTAGCAAGTCGATATTAAAATCTCCCATCAAGACAATATGATCGTGTACCGAGAATGCACTAATGGACTCTGTCAACGCATCAATAAATGTATCTACACATAACCAGGGTGGACGGTAAGCAGTGCCTACAGCAAGTTTAAGGCCGTTTAATTTAAGACTAATCCACATTTGTTCGACTGACAAGGAAGCCGGATGATCAAGCAGTCGCGCGTAAATTCCTCGTTTCAGGTAAAATCCAACTCCACCACCGCGAGAACGAACTCCGGGCGGGCGCGGCACGTGGCGGAGCCGGTAGCCGGGCGGCGCGGGCGCGCACGCCTCCCCGCCCGCCCGCAGCCAGGTCTCGTTGATAGCGACGATGTCTGCTGCGTGGCGTGGCCACTGTGACACGAACTATTTGACGGTGACTGTACAAAAAGGGTGATTCAATTCAACAAATATTTCTGAAATAAACACCTCACAAAAGGCTTTCAAGAAAGGAAGATGATTGTTCTGAGTCATTCCAGTTATTTGGCCACTGGCCAAATCTTATTACTGCAAAAGTGGCAAGTCATTTGCCTCTCTTTATTAGAGGATTAATTTGGTTTACACTCCATACAGTTTGGGAAGGTCTAATGTTCGCACATTTGTCCCTAAGCGCCACCGAATTTCTTCTTCTGATTGACGAGATTCTAATCGAAAATAGTATGAGCAGTGCAGGTTGGATTTCATTCATAAGGCAAGCGCATGCCGCGGGCACCCCCGCAGTAGTTTTAGCGAAGTCCTGCCTTAGTGTCCTTTTGCTCGCTTTAGTGGAAAAGTGGAGTAAGCTGTACCTACCTACTATCATATTCTCCGAAAGCCATACCTATATGCCAAGCAAGTAAAAGAATTCGATTTAGAAGAAAGATATAGTAAAGATCATTTAAGACCCATGAAAGAGAAAAGGTATTAGTTTTTAGGGACCCAGAGATAATTTTATCCAAGTTTTTAGAGGGGAGCACGCAGCAGGTAGGCGTTCGAAACTAAAAACTGACTTGAATGAGTGCAAAGTAGATGATAGATGACATAGGGGTAAAATGATGGTAATCTCTTACAGGCAGCGAGCTATCGCGGCAGCTGGACCTATGGCTGTCCAAGGCAGACCTGACTCACGGCCCCGCGCGGGCCATTATAGCACCGTAAGTCCTTAAATATTATTGTTTTATTCTTCAAGAGTTGTGAAGCAGATATGAAAGACACAATGTCGCCATTTCACACCCACAGAAAGATATTATTTATTAACTCATTCAGTTCTCCGTTCCTTATTCTATCCAGTCCAGTAAGTGACAGCCTGTACTTAATATTTTTACCTTCCAGGCATGCGGGTTATTCGTATTGCGGCGCGTGCGCGGCTTTCGCGTACCGGCAAGTCAGTCCCGTGGTTGTGTGAGTATACTTACTAATACTATATGTAGGTACTATGGGCCCATTTCCAGTCATGTCGTCTCATTCTATCGCAAAGAATCGCCATTTGATGAGAGCGAGAAAAAAAACGGAAATTTGTAGTTGGAACTGAAACACTGTACCTATTCTTATTATTTGCTCTGTGGTAAAGGTTTATAGCCCTCACCAATTGGCACCACTGTAGAATAGGGTCATGTCAATCGCCAGTGGTTTTAACTGTTTAGTATAAAAAACAATAGTCCTCATTAAATAACATACTGTTTGCAAATAAACTATAGTCTGGTCCGCGAGCACGTAGAATTTTGTCCAATGACCCCAAGCGCTCGCGCGTAATTATGTTGCTGTCGCGCTCGCACACTCACTGCGGGCGCCCGTCGCACAGTCGCGACAGCAATATAATTACGCGCGAGCGATAAGGATTGGTAGCTTGGGGTCATTGGACAAAATTCTACGTGCTCGCGGACCAGGCTTTACCTATCTATATCTATCTGTTTCCCAGCAAGCGGATCTTCATCCTAGGCCCGTCCCACCACGTCAGATTGGGAGGCTGTGCTCTCTCCTCTCTGGACAAATACCAGACGCCGCTCTATGATCTCACCATAGACAAACAGAGTAAGTCTTCTTCACTACCCTCAGTTTTCGAACGTTAACTTCGAACTCCTATGTTCTTCTGCTTAATATCGTTGCGGGTCCAATGACTGTACTTTCCCCCGGGACAAACTTGACCTTCACTGGTTGGGTTATTGGCGGTCAAGCTGTAGATCCTGGCTACACAGTTGTTTTAACCTTTCTATGACTCCTTGTCTATGGTTTACCAATGTCATTGCAATTTCACCCTTATTCCAGTATACGCAGAGTTGGAAGCCACCCGGCAGTTTGAGTGGATGGACGTACAGACCGACGAAGATGAGCATTCCATAGAGATGCATCTGCCATACATAGCCAAAGTTATGGAGGAGTAAGTAAAAAATATAGTTAGGGCTAGTGCATAATTGAGTCATTGCTTGAGGTATGGGAGCTTTACGAGAGGGGTTTATACCGGTTTCGGTTACGGTTACGGATATTTTTTTATTTCGGATATCCGAAAGTTTCGGTTATGGTTACGGATATCTGAATGCAATTTGCAATAGTTATCCAAGACGGTTCATTCATAGCCGCACACTTAACATCGAATAAAAAGTAATAAAAAAATAAAAAATGATACTACATGGCATTATAAAGGTAAATCAGACTGTTATACCTTTACATAATTTTAGTGCTATACAAAAAACAATTTAAACTGCCTACATCCGAAACTATCCGAAACTTTTGAATCGGTTACGGTTACGGTTTCGGATATTTTTTTATTTCGAATATCCGAAAGTTTCGGTTACGGTTACGGATATCCATAACATCCCTGATTGTGACGTGAGAGAGACAGAGCGACAGAGCATACCACAGATCACAGAAACTAAAGGGAGATGTGACAAGGGAGCGTGGCCGGTGTCGCAGCAATATGCCCAAAAACAGAACACATTGCTCGTGACAGCAATGATGACAGCAGCGACGTCATAATGTAAACAGTTTACATTGCTTTCGTAGTACTAAATATTATTCGAACGTAGAGTACTGATACCGTAGTGGATAATGAGCACATATTTTGATTACTTTGTGTGTGTGAATCTCTAATGCGACACTGAGTTTCGAACTCAACGCATTAGTTGGCATCTCTCCACATCTCTATGGAGCATACAAATCTGAAGTCTCGCTGACGTGTGACGTCACAAAAACGCCCTCCCGTGCCGCTCATACCTCAGTCACTGACCTAAGTTAAGTGTTATAGATGACCCACGCTGAACTGTCCCACCAAACTCAATGACAGGGGGGCGCCACCATCGTTCAACTATATGGTTTCCAACATGGCAAAAATCGGAACCAGCGATCCGGTATTGACGGTGGCGCCCCACTGTCAATGTCATGGGTGGGACAGTTCAGTATTTTGGAACTATAGACCTATTGTATAATAAAGAATTTGAAGAATTGTAGCTCAAAAATGTTTTCCTTTCTTTTTTCAGATATAAAACCGGTTTCACTATTATACCAATTTTGGTTGGTTCATTAACGCCTGAGAAAGAAGCAAAGTAAGTATATTGTAGCGTAGATTCATTTTATACTATACGGGTAAAAATGGAGTGTATTTTTAGTCTAATTATTCTTCTTGTGTCTTCTTGTTGTGTCATTAACAAACACACAGTGTCAGCCCAAAACTCCGCTACAAGAGTGGCGTTGTCAGTAGCATTCATTAAATCTTCCTGCGTGCAGTTGTTTGGGCACACAGGGCACGACATCATGTGCTTCATCAACTGGGGAACACAACCACACTTGCACTCCAATTGCTAAACTTTTAAACACGCTTTGACGTCACGGGCCTCTTCTTTTAAACTTTGGCGTGCTTTATCTCTTTCAATAAGTTTAGTGACAGGCTTATTCTCTACTCTAAGGCCCAGAACAGACGGTGAAACGCACCTGCAACGAAACTGCAACTTTTTGATTATTCTGATGAATGAAACTGAAACTGAAAGTTTCAAACTGGTCGCGTCATGTGTGGTCTCACAACGGACGCTATGGCAGAAACTTAGATGCAACTCAAAAGTAACTAAAGCCTGGTCCGTGAGCACGTAGAATTTTGTGGGTCATTGCCCCAAGCTACTCATCCTTATTGCTCGCGCGTAATTATGTTGCTGTCGCGCTCGCACACTCACTGCGGGCGCGCGTCGCACAGTCGCGACAGCAATATAATTACGCGCGAGCGGTAAGGATGGGTAGCTTGGGGTCATTAGACAAAATTCTACGTGCTCACCAGGCTTTAGCATTTGCAGTTTCGTTTCACCGTCTGTTCTGGGCCTAACTCTTGCTTTTTTACCCAGGAAACATCCCTATTTGCATGGGTAAAAGCATTTTTCGTCATATTATTATTTATTATCCAGATACGGCGCAATCTTAGCGCCTTACCTGGCGGATCCTCAGAACCTGGTGGTGGTATCGTCCGACTTCTGCCACTGGGGGTCCCGGTTTCGGTACACGTGGCGCGACCAGGCTCGCGGACCCATCTACCAGAGCATCGAGTGGCTTGACAAACAGGTGAGCTATACAGGGTGTCTAAAAATAGTAAATCTCAAAGTCAAAGTCAAAATTTCTTTATTTGTAGACTATTTAATTAGTACTTAACAAATCGTCAAATAAATAAATCTTTGGACAATTTCACACAGCGCCAGCTAGCCCCAAATAAGCAACTCAATGCTTGTGTTATGGGTGCTAGCTTAACGGATATACTACTTATATACTTTTTTTTTATTAAATACATACATATTACATATTATGGTATCCTTCCGTTTGGCCAAATTACTTTTCGCCAAATTTCACTTCGCAAACAACTTATCGCCAAAGTTTCATTTCCCAAATGAACTTTTAGCAATTGTATTTTTCGCAACTAATTCATTTGGACAAATTATCATTTGGCCAAATTTTACTTGGCAAATGTTTATATAGCAAATGTTTTATTTTGCCAAATATTATATCCCAAATAATTTGTTTGGTCAAATCGACACTTCACATACTTATCCACAAATCAAACCATAAGGCAGAGGCAGATGATCATGGTTTTCACAAGAATGTTATGTAAAACAAAGAGATTGCAGAAAATAGTTNTATGGAGTTTGTCTTCTGTTATATTTTGTGCCCGTTTTCCGTTGTCACGACATAACATGAAAACGGCTTGACCGATTTGGCTGATTTTTTTTTGTAGTTTTCTAATACTCTGTACAAGGTTTTTACGGAAAAAAATATAAAGAAAATCTCTACGCTAAGGCGGTACGAAGTTCGCCGGGTCAGCTAGTTTAAAATAAAGTTTGTTTACACTTTGACAAAACGTCCATTGTCAGTCGTTGTTCAAGTGCGACAGTGATAACGCTCTACGAAACTAAATTAGCCGATTGTCTCTTTGTAAAGGTCGATGTGCAATATTTATCGCCGGGTATTGTATTTATGTTCATGCAACTCACGAAGGTGAGGTTTACTTGTGTGTACGTGTACTACATGCACATAATGATAGTGTAATGTCTATCAAAACTTAAAAAAACGAACAGTAGCGAGCCACCACACATGTAAAGCTCACTCGCCTTTGTGAATTGCAACAACTACATATACATATTACATATTTGTATCTTTTGTTTCAGTTATGCGTAACCCTAGCGCACTTATGCTGCTTGCTCACTCAGTCGGATCTCAACGACATACTGGACCCCTTAGTGTTTCATTACGACTGTGCCAAATCTCTCTTCACCCAGTTATGCCACAAGTTGCCTCCAGAAAACGCGTCCTGCCTCAAAATACTGCAAGCGGCGAAGTATGTGACAGTTGATTTGACAGCGTCAAACGATACGCAGTCTCAGTCGTTGACTATGCTACAGGATATATTCATTTGGGATATGTAAATAGTAGTTTATTAGAATAAAATAACTTTATTGTCATTATTAATTATACAGATGACAGCACATCATGCTAAGATACCCGACTAAAGACTTTTAGTCGGCCGATAGTTTGATCGGCTTCCAATTTGTATGAAGAATCGACCGATACTAAATCGGTGTAATGTGCGCACTTCCATACATGTTCATACTGATTAACAACCCGACCCAACCATCGACTAACTAAGGCCGAGTTGCACCACCTAACTTTGACCGTAATATCGAATGACGATAACCGGTGTTTTTTGTATGGAGTTTGACAGATTTTTGACGTTTGTCAAAGTTAAAGTAAGATGGTGCAACCGGTCAACCCAGCCTTAAACTCTGTATTCTGCGTGGTGTCTAAATACTGTAGCATCGTACTTATTTAGTTGTCACAGGTGCTATTTTGCAATAAAAGTATATTCTGATGTACTGTCGACTGTACGTAGTTTTAAAATGAATGAATCTATGACTATTTATTTTTCATGAATATACATTTCGTGAATAATTTTTATAACTGCTTATTAGATAATATAGATGCACATATCGATAAGATTGTATTTCTTCCATTGATCTCTTTGAATGATTGCTTATTATTACTCTTGATAATGGATAAAGAATTATAATGTCATAACAGCATAGTATACATGCCATTTATAAGACAATACTCTGTACGCACGGTCATTGTCGTGTAAAACAATTGCACGCGCGTAGTTGTAGCGTTTTTGGCATGCATACGCATTTATTTTGAGCGTTATCTTATCGATTACGTACAATCGTAAACGCGGGCAGTGCGATCAAAAATAAACTCGAGTTTTACGCCGGTTTACCGGTAAATCGTTCGCATGTTTTGTTGAAGTTATGAAAGGAGAACAACCACTTTCTATGAAGCGTTGGGCCCAGTACTAAGTTATTTGTACAGCTACAAATTTTATGTCGTTTTTATGCCTTCTTAAACTAGTTTATTATTGTGTTTATTTGAGGTTGCTAACTAGTGTCATTCTCGAGAAAACTAAATTAGAAAAAACTAGAAAAAATGTTACTTTTATACAAAATCAAGTCGTCAGTTACCCAAATCGCAAGCAGAATCCGTTAGAAATANTAAAGGAGAACAACCACTTTCTATGAAGCGTTGGGCCCAGTACTAAGTTATTTGTACAGCTACAAATTTTATGTCGTTTTTATGCCTTCATAAACTAGTTTATTATTGTGTTTATTTGAGGTTGCTAACTAGTGTCATTCTCGAGAAAACTAAATTAGAAAAAACTAGAAAAAATGTTACTTTTATACAAAATCAAGTCGTCAGTTACCCAAATCGCAAGCAGAATCCGTTAGAAATAGCATAAAATGTTATTAATCGATAGTTTTATTTCTTCTTCTTCTTTTAATTCGTTTTAATTCAATTCAACAAGCATTCGCAACAGTCTCATCCTTTAGATCCTTTAGACATACTCTCTAATCTGTGGTCTCATCTGTGATTCGCAAGTGACATTGCTGCAATGACAGATGACAAAACGAATTATTTTCATTCATTATTTCATTCAATCATTTTAGTTTTGTCATCTGTCAGTACAAACCTTCTTAAAGATCAAATACACTGAATTGTCCCACCCGTGACATTGACAGGGGGCGCCACTGTCAATACCGGATCGCTGGTTTCGATTTTTGCCATGTTAGAAACTATATAGTTGAACGATGGTGGCGCCCCCCTGTCAATGAGTTTGGTGGGACAGTATAGTGTATTGAGTCTTTAATCGATTGACTTTTAACGTTCCATTTCACGTTATCTTAGATTAAATCATTAATTCGTTTTTATTATTGTATACGACTTACGACATCAGTTAAAATTATCATTGTTACCGTAAAATACTCCCTAATGTATGCGTAATATAATATCAAAAACCTACCAATGTACAACTCTGTACAAACTTGGGCCCAAAATGGTTGTTCTCCTTTGCTGCTAATTCAATTAGTTTAAACAGGTTTTAATGCGATACGCGGATAGGTGATATTGAAATATTACCTGTATTTTCCTGACATTTTGACCGGGTTGCATCGGCTTGCATCGGCAGTCGTCACAGACTGTCAAAACCTGTTTAAATTAATTCAATTATGCAATGCGAAAGTTTAGAATTAATTTTTGCTGCAAATGTCAGTTAGTAGAAACTTATTTAAAAATATTTAATATTTTAATCACAATGTTTCTGAAACAATAAATTGTCGAAGCCACAGCACTTTTCATGGCATATGAATGTATCTCTTAAATTATCATAATATTTTCAAAGTATTCTCTCCTTATAAAGGCGAAGGGATAAAACATTGACGCTCTCTTCCTCTTTATTTATTGTATTAATTTAAGATATCAATTTTATTTATGTAATTTTTACACATTGTTATGTTTTAAGTAGTACTATCAATAAAATAATTTAGTGATATACAAATGGGTTTTATTCCATGTCATCTATTTTGAAATATAGTAGCAAGGTAAGATCAGTAGTTGATTGTATCGGGGACCCCACAGCATTTAAGATATACAGTACCTTTATAAAAGTGGCTTATCATAAAAACTCACTTGGCAAATGACACACAATCGATACCTGATAACAGAAGCGCTTCGTGACATTTAGATAAGCACCTACGTTCTACCAAAAATCCAGTTTGCACCAGTACCAATCGGCACACGTTTTACAAACGTTCGTATCTTTGACACTACAACCTTTATAATTGCGAATGATACAAGTAGTCGTATTAGATAAATTATTATGTCTCCCGGCTCTTTGTTTATAATGGAGACCGAATAAATCTAGATTCAGCCAATTAAGGTGGTTCAGGGTACAGTTGTAGAGGGCATTGACGCAAATAACCTGCGTCGTGATAAGAGAGGTCATTGGAGAAATTATAATTCGATTACTATCGGGTCAGATTAGCTCGTGTCTTATTTTTGTACTAATTAGTTTTATCAGGATACTATTACTAGATAAGCATAGGTACTATAGGTAATTAATGTTATATTGGGTATGTAGTAGGTACCTATTAATTAAATGTTGATTTAAATAAACTGTAGGTACCTATGTCGGTTACCAACCTACTCTCTGTCGATCGCTGCCGAATTTAGCCCAAGTTATTTTTATCCTAACCTTTTATCTTGTTTAGTCTAAAAAGCTACTTTTATTCGCGAAATAGGAGCATTTTTTTTTAATCTTTATTTAAGGAGCTTGATCAACATTAATAGTGGTTTTCGGAATACACAGAACAAAAACTTCGTACCGTGTCATGTTCATCAGAAAAAATACAAGACTCTAATTGTGAAAGAACTTTTCAAATTACGGTGCCTATTCAATACAAACTAACAAACAATCAACTCTTTTCTCCTTATAATATTAGTCTAAGTGTATTTTAAAAGTTAATACAAAGAACCCCCAAGTTTGGGCGAGATTCAGTAGGTAATATAAAAATGTCACGGATCTGAAATTAGTCCAAATCACGCGCAAGTATGATGAAAAATTTTAATACTTACACGTTAATTTATTTGTGTGTTTAGATAGCACTACGTCTTTTACTAAAAGGCTTGACTAATAAGCTTTCCACGTTTAATTTTCAATGTTATTCAAATGAGACAAAGGGAATGACCATCGGAAAAACTCATTGTTAATTCTTTGCAATACCTATTTACATTTATCATTAAAAAATTGAATGTGACCCTCGCGTATTACCAAAGTCTAAGTAATGCAACAACTCACAGATTAGAAGAAATTAGCTTTTAGTTAGTTACTAGCGGCCGTTAGTAGGTACGCGTGGATGCCGTTTTACCTCCATCTATCTTTCGCGGTTTTTTCGCGATTTTTTCATACAAATGTTTTTTCCCGCTAACTCCCGTTCCCGTGGGAATGGGGATGTTGCCTGGGTCAAAAAGCAAGAGTTTTAATTAGTCCGTCAGTTAACTTATCAAAAAATACTCTACACGTATTTTTCACTTTTTCAAACTAATGAAAATTTAAAGAGATAAAGCGCCCCAAAGTTCATAAGAAGAGGCCCGTGACGTCAACGCTTGCTTAAAAATGCCGCACGTTGTGACGTCGTGCGCAACTTCAACGCACCATAACTATGTAATTATTTGTTAGATTGACAAATAAAATTATATGTGTCCAATATTTTTTGATATTAAACATTACGGACTAAAAAAATTTTTTTAGGCAACTAGCCTATTTGGCAATATCCTGTTGTACAAGCTTTAAGTTTACTAAGGAACCTGTATGCCTTTCAAGCGTCTAACTTAAGCGATTTAGATTTTTCATACAAAAGGATTTTCCCGCTAATTGCCGTTCCCGTGGGAATTTCGGAAATTCCTTTCTTAGTGCTCCTCTACGGTACCTAAGCTACGTCCCTTCCAAATTTCAAGTGCCTACGTTTAGTCGTTTAGGCTGTGCGTTGATATGTCAGTCAGTCAGTCAGTTTCTCCTTTTATTATTTAGATAAACTACTAACCGTTGCAATTTTCAATATGCTTTCCGAGAAAATGGAAATAAATTAATTAACCTCAAAGCAGAGTTACTTATCAATTGTTAGTCCAGTACTACTTGTACTCGCGCTCATCGCACTAACATCTTAGACGCAGGGTTCGAACCCGCAACCGCTGGTGTTGTGTAGTGTATGCAAAAGCCATAACAAATCTTTGTTTTGCTTATTTTCCGTGATTAAACAAAACACCTACCTAATTAATATTTAAACATTAGGTACTTAATTTATTTTTTTTTACTCTATTTCAGTAGGGTTATCTAAAGGTGCGGGCTATAAGTAGTTCCTATTTCAAAATAAAACAAACAGTGGAAACTTACGACACTGTTTGTTTATGAAATTAAGGAGTTTATCTCCGAATTCGTCGCAAATTGTGATCATGCAGGCACATCATGAACATTTCAGTGCGGAGTGCAAATATGGCTTTTGCTCTTTCATATTTCATTAATATTTTTGTAAACATATTTGCACATCGTGCATGTAGGCATAAGTAAATAGGTAGACGTTCTTAGATTGTTAACAGAAACCAATTTAGGTTGATTGGATAAGTGGAACTGCCCTTGGGTGGGTCGAA